ACAAGGGAAAATGTGTCATTTATAAATATTTTTATGATAACTGACGGAAAATGGCCGGTAAGCAAATTTGACAGATAAGCTACAGATAGTAAGTTTGACAGATCTACCGACGGATAGATTTTTTTTATTGAAATACCTTTTTGCGCTATTTTCATACATTTTGCCTACGAACGGTTATCAGTATCAGATCAATCCGTTAGTAGCACACCGTCGGTAGCTTTACCTACCAATGGTATGTTATTGAAACACTTTTTTGCTACCATCGGTACGAAATGCTACGGATAGTAGCAAAAACGGATAGTTTTTTGGTTATTGAAACCGGGGGTTAGATATCGAAAATGAAACCATTGGTCATATTCCAAGATGAGTAGTTAATCCGTGATTGACCTAAACCTGTTAAATGACACCAATAACGACATAATATCTACACAAATAAAAATATATTTTTAATTGTTGATGTTAAATTGCCTGTTAAAGTTTTTCTAATACACTACCACAACTCACTACAGAAATCTCATGTAATTAATTGTTTATAATTATATTATTGGTTATCCACACTGACAAATATATTTCTATCCATTTAATTGCCTTAAAGCTGCTCATAGGGGAATACAAGTAACTACCTACAGACCTCTCTAAAAAGACTGGTGGTTTAAAAAAACTATATTTCACCAATTAATATTGAATTTAAATAATCGGATAGTTGTAATAATACTTTTTCCTAATTTCATTTCGTTAATAAGTTTACAGACGCATGTCTGAAACCGACGGCACTCGTAGTAGCGTAGGGATGAAACGATACGAGTAAATACAAGTAGGTACTTACCCGATACTTTTTTTTTCGATGCCTTAGATTTTGGTATCGATACTTTAGAACCGAGTAACGAGTAGTATCGTGAAGTGTTTATATTGGTACTTGGCTTGGCTATAAAGGCTAGCGAGCATAAGACTTTTTTTTAATTCGAGCCTATTATAAAATAGTGTTTCATTTTTAATATAGCAAAGATTTATTCTGATATACACTCACAGGCACAATTAACCGCCCATCTGTATCATTAATCACCCTGTTTGGTTCCGTCAATTGTGGCTCATCAACTGTTTTGATTTTTGGTGCTCTAGCTATAAATAAAACACTTATGTCATTATTTTCTTGCCTAAATTTGTGTCACCGAAGGGTTTTCGGAATTTAGTAGTTGTTTTACATTGTTGCTGTTGTATTACCGATTTAGCATTTCCTGTTATTTTCTATGATAGTGAACGAATATTTTTAATTTATAATTATAGCATTTGCTCTCTCTTTATCACCACACCATCAGACGATTTCAGGAGACAGGCTTATACGAGGGGTGTTCAAAAGTAGTGAGAACGACGTAGTAATGAAGCGTACTTGAAAACAAAAAAATGGTAACGGAAAGATTAGGTCTTTGTTATAATACTCTCAAATAATTAGGTTTCTATCTTGTCTGTGTTTGTTGTAGTAGGGGAGCCGAAGCGGGGATTTCGGGATTTACTAAAGCGCGGCAGATTAATATACAGGGGGATACCTTGTACCCAGTTAAGTACTTGGACCAAGTATGAGCCCTATAAAAATGGCCGCCCGGCAAGGACGAAGGATCAGATTAGTAAAAAAAAATTGATCATCTGAAAATCTCGAGCGCGTCAGATTAAGGTAAGGTGAGCTAGTTACATGCTAAAAGGTGTACATACCTCTAATCTGACAATTTGAGAGTGACGTAAAGAAGGGGGAAGGCTACAAAGTTGTAAAAAAAAAACGTCACTTTGACATTCTCGAGCGTGGCTAATTTTTTTTTATTTTGAAGGGAATCATTCAAGGATTACGAAAAATATATAATCTGACGATTGTCACAAGCCGAAGTAATAAAAATTCATCGATAAGATTTAATGCGTTTAAGCTACGTGATACCTATATTTCCTTCTCCGCATCACTATTTCTCTCTCTTTTTCTGTCTATTACTCTCTCATTCCATCCCCACTCTGGTTTCGGTTGCCATGACGCCATGACAGCTGATGACACAGACTCGTTCGTGGCGTGATATTGTTTACATCGTATTTCCAACGTTTTTGCTTATTTTGTTATTTTAAGAGACGAAGAGGAAGATGATTCTAGCGATGAAGATGATAATTAATAAAAAATACTGTAAAAATTTAATTTTCATATAATCATTTTCTTATAAATATAAGTATTTTACATAAAAAAAACATACACTTTTTTTTTGCATGCTAACTCCGGTGCTTTTTTATTTAATCAAGCTCAATGATTTGAAAAAATTAAAAAAAAAAATTTTTTAGTGTCAGTTTAAGAAAATCCCTTCAGATAATCGTCAGATTATGAGATATCACGTCTGGGGCATAAAGATGAACCATATATATCTTAATCTGACGCGCTTGAGTATTTCAAAATGGCGATATTTTTTTGCACATTCTAATAATGGTCGTTCAAATCGTCAGATTATTATATGAGAGCTTTTTTTTAGGTTCACTTGACATCCTCTCAAAAAATCTGACGCGCTCGATTAAATTTTTTTTTTTTCATTTTCAACCCTTACGTATAACCACCCCCATCATGGAAACGATCAGATTAACATACGACAGTTTTTAAAAATGCGTAGGACATGGATGATATTAATATCTGACGCGCTCGAGTATGTCCATACAACAGTTTTTTTTTACATTTTTAAAAATCTATAGCCGCTTCCCCCACCGATGAAAAGGTATATATTATATGACATTATTTTTTTGTTATCATCTAAGCTTCGCAACCCAATAGGTCTCTATGACGGTCGAGTAAATCCCGATTTAGCATCGTGGGCTCCCCTACTATTGTATTAATTTATTTGTTTGTGACGCGTCGTTAACTTTCGCAAAATTGGATAAAATTTAAATCCGTGCAGTAATAAAATACTTTTGCTTGAAAAATTTTACTACGGAACAAATTTTTAAAGATTTATGTGAGACATTGGGGGAGTCTGCTCCTCCATATTCCACAGTGGTTCGGTGGTGTGCAGAGTTTAAACGTGGTAGAACATCGGTTAAAGATGACCCGCGCTCTGGCCGCCCTTCTACGTCAGTCAATCGGGAAACGGTTGAGAAAGTTGAAAAAATTGTTCTGGATGATCGCCGTGTAACTGTCCTTTTTATAGCTGAAGAGTTGAAGATTTCAAGTGGTAGTGTGTATAACATTTTGCAAGATCACTTAGGAATGAAAAACCAGGCCCACAAGTCTGCAGTTGCTATGGCAGCAATCCAAGATGCTGGCTTTGAGATCCTCGATCATCCGCAATATTCACCGGACTTAGTCCCTAGTGATTTTCACTAAGTTCTTTAAGATCATGACATACCTTTCGCTCCGTTCATTGGTGACAACTTCAGATTTATGCTTGTCAACGCACGCTGCCAAACCGCAAATCCGTTAATGAGTACCTTAATGAGGTCGGGATTCAAGTTTTACCATAGCTCGCATACAGTCCCGATTTTAACCCAATAGAAGACATTTGGGACAACCTTAAATGACATGTGCGAGCAATAGTACAAGTCCCCTAGAATAACTCTTTATTGTCAACACCACGGATACAGAAATTCATATACCAATAATATAGAAGGTGTGCGGTCAATTGTGCCAGTAAATGTAAATTACAGTGTCTTTATTCTGCTCTATAGAATACTAGCTTTTTAGCAACGACTTCACCCGCGTGTACCCTAGGGAACTTTATAGTGGGATAAAAGTGGCCTATTTGTTAATTCAGACTTAGAATTATCCGTGTACCAAATTTAAATAAAATTTATAGTTTTTGTGTGAAAAAGTAACAAACACACAAACTTCACATTTATGTTATAAGAAGTTCACTCGAAAAGTTGTTCGAAATTAATTTCTTGGAATGCAAACGTGTCACGTCTTTCCTATACCATTTCCTACACTCCCTTTCTCGAAATCATTTGATTAGTTCAAAAAATTGAAGAATAATTAAATGATCGAACACACGTTTCGATGAAATAAAACAATAATATTTCGAAAAACTAGGCTGTATGGATTAAAGATCCCTATGCGTTAAATAAAATGATCGGGTGTATACATACCACCACGGCATACAGGTCGTACTGCAGGTGGAACGGGTCCTGGTCCGGGTGAAGGTGGTGCTGATGGAAGTCCTGCAGGTTTGAAAATCGTATCACAAAATATAAAATATGGCCTCGGGGACATAGTGAGGTGCATATATGTTGTTCATTAAATCACATTTGCATCAATCTTTTCTTACATTAGAAAGAGAAGACGCGAATTTCAAACTTATCAACAAGAGAATTAGGTGCGAGCAGGTACCGAACGGTCATCCGTACATTACATCGTTGCAAATAAAAGTAACGTGGAGCCGCGGAGTAGAAAAAACTAATGTACGGTTTGGATTATCTTTATGTGGGTGTACGAGTTAACGCAGTACAGAGCAACATTAATATTTAGCATAAAATAAGTTATTGCACTATGACCCAGATGTGTTTGCATACACATCACTTTTCAAAATGTACAAATAATTATTATAATAAACTCAGTGTCTTAATAGCCTTCATACGGTTCGGTTTTATTTAGCACTCCTTTGAGTAACCTTACCCTTAGCAAGCATACGAGTGTAGGGAGCAATTCCTACAGTGGGTTATATCGGTATACTTTATCGCATGTACCTGGAGGTTGTCGTCAGTGACTGGGGTGGTGGTCAAACTGGTCGACTGCAGCCGCTGGCGGCGCGATTCATGGGACCGATTCGCGCAACCGCTCTGGAACAATATCGGCTATATATTTATAGGGTCGACGGTGGTTTTCTCGGCGCTCCCTCTCTTCAGGATCCAGGTTTCTGGTTTATTCCTATCGCAATTTCACTCGTACTACACAATTATAGATCGCTTTTCGCCTACCATTAGCAGGCGGGATCACCGCTCACGAGCTCGTCGAGACAGTCGAAAAAAATGGTTTGCAAAATTGCAGAAAGGAACTTTACACAGAAAAAGCGGCGATAGTTAAAACACGTGTGGCGCCCACCTTGTGGTGTGTTCTGTCGTCGTGTTTGGTGTGGAGCACATGCTCGGCGTCATCGGCGGCGGCGGCCTCGGAGATGGGTGTGCGCGGCCGCGGGCGCGCCAGCTCGCGGTGCCGCAGGATGGTCTCCTGCGGGACGGCCGCCAGGAACTCCGTCGGGTCGAAATCCTCGAACGGGAAATTCACTACCTTCTGGGACTTTGTCCACTTGTTATTCACGTACTGGAATCGCTTCAGATGGATCACCTGGAAGGGGATTTTTACATAAGGATCGGAAGGGTATGTGTAAACCCATACTCGTATAAAATTAGAAAAACAATTGATATTGGTAATGTAAAAAGATGAGTCGCTTGAGATGTCAATTGGCACAGTGTAGTGTAGTGTACCAGTATGGGCGGCGCGCGCCACAGCTGCATCTTCTTGGTGGCGGGCTGCATGGAGCGGCAGTGCGCGCAGTGTAGTGTAGTGTAGTGTAGTGTAGTGTACCAGTATGGGCGGCGCGCGCCACAGCTGCATCTTCTTGGTGGCGGGCTGCATGGAGCGGCAGTGCGCGCAGTGTAGTGTAGTGTAGTGTAGTGTAGTGTAGTGTACCAGTATGGGCGGCGCGCGCCACAGCTGCATCTTCTTGGTGGCGGGCTGCATGGAGCGGCAGTGCGCGCAGTGGTAGGCGGCCTCGAGCCGCTCGTCGCTGGTGAAGGCGCGCAGGCACGACGCCAGGTCCACGGCCGCCGCTGTGGCCCCGCACTCCGCCACCGACGAGTGCTCCACGCACATCTATACACATACATAAACGATCATCATTCATCGTGAACTTTTACCCCTCAATTTCACGAATATCTTTGTTGTTTATTCTTCGATTAATCGTTAATTTAAATGCCTTTCGGTTCGGAATGTCTTATCCCCGAAATTTCCAGTTCTCTGAATGTCGAATTCCGGAAATGTTCCCTTCCCAAAATGTCCTAGCCACTATCATTATGGTTATGTTGAATACGCAGATGAAAAACAAGTGTACCAAGTTAGTAGTTAGTGTAGTTTTGAATAAAAGACCACGCCTAAATCCCTCACTACCTCCCTCCTATGAAGAACCTGGCCACACAGAGTACAGCCGTGTTATGTAATTGTATCTTAAGACTAGTTACAAAAAGGTTGTTTGTGACTTTTAGGATAACATTAGGCAAAAAGTTGTTAAAACCGACATTAACAATAATAAATAAATATTTTTAATGTTTTATAATGATAATGAGGAAGTATGGAAAAAAGAAATTAGTGCTGTCTTTTAAAAGCACCTCACTAGATGGCGACTCTATTAAAAGTTGATTTTTGCAACTAACATTGAAATTTGTAAAGTTCGAAATTTAGATATCAATACAAATACGAAAAAGTACAAATAGAATACCTATGAGTTGTTTTGAAAATTAATTTACTTTTATACATGAAGGAAAGAAAACAGGAAGGGTTGTCATGAAGAAATCAAGAAAGCACCATAGTGACATCGAATTTGATTTGGAGAACTAATTTTTTTTTTAAAACTTCCTAATAATCTTCAGCAAATTGAAGAGTGTAAGATATTTTAGTTATTTTTTTTTTTACAATAATTTATATATTTATGCTAAAAAGCATAGATATACATTAAAAGTTTATTATATCTAATGAGCAGAGTGAAACACTTGAAAATATAATCCAGGGCCCTATTATCAACGAAACACTAGAAAATAATAGGTGATTTGGATGTGAAATTCATTCAGCTAAATCAGTAATATTATAATTATATTTCGTTTGTATAATATTTCGTTGTTTCGTTCGAAAGCAAGTAAAAGTTAAATTTAACAAGAAAAAAGAAAGATTTTTAAAATTATTTTAGGCTATGCACTAGGAGCAATTAAAGGACGGAGGGCAGGGTTGTTTTTGTTTTAATGTAATTTCAAAATTAGTCATATTAAAATTCTTAAATATATATATGAAATGCTTGTAAGTCTTCAATGATAGCCTTCCACTGTGAACCAAATTTTAGCTCCACCGGGGGAGTTCTTACGGAGCTAATCGGGTGTGACGGAGGGACGGATGTATAGACGATCAAACAGACAAACGGGCAGACAAGCGAAAAGGGTACCCTTCGAGGAACGAAAACCTGGAAACGAAAATAAAATCTAACCTTCTCCCTGGTGGTTTGGTATCTGAGATGCAACGCGGTGGGGTCCCAGTCGATGGCGAGCTGCAGCCGCCTGTCGCCGCTCAGGTCTATGCATCTCACCACGCCCGCCTCGTACTCTTCATCGTCCTCGTTCTCCGGACCCTGAAGGACACGATACCGGGTAAATCGGACGGCGCGCAATAAACGAATCGTCCTACCTATTGCGAGCCAATATAGGGACGCGACGTACATCCCGCGCTCGCGCGGAGCCGGGTCTGCGCCCCGCCGCGGCGGCGTCCCGCCACTGCGCCCCGCCCGCCCCGCCGCCGTCCCGCGCCGCCGACGGCGTCCGGCTCTCCGCACAGCCACCTGGCGAGGAGCAGGTGTAATGTAGCCACTCGGGCAGGCAAGACACACACACAGCTAGAGCACACGTGGCGTGCAGTACCGCAGTGCAGCAGTAGAGGGCGCGCGTCGGCGGGCAGCGCGCAGCCGCGGCACAGTCGCGGCCAGGCGCAGGCGCCGCACCACGCGCCCGCCGCGTCCACCAGCCGCAGCGTGAACGGGAACGAGTACCCGAGGCTGTCGTCGCTGCACATACGAGTAACTCTTTCGCATATACTATGCACGAACTTGGGATAAAATCGTATCATTAAAAATGTTTAAGTTTTAAAAAAGATAACTCCGAATTCAAATAAGGAAAATGGGTGATTTTCAAATATTTTTCTTCCTGTCAAATTGAGTGAATCTAATGAAGGAATTAAGGCCACGAAAAATATTGTGACCTTTATGGACTTAATGCAGTTTCTGGGAGAGTAGCACGAATTGGGTTCGAGTGTTTTCAACCCGGAAATTCTGACGACAATAAAAAAGATGCCATTTCTGAAAAGTAGAGCAACATTGGCATATCAGACTAGAGTCATCTGCGAATAATACTATTTCGAATGAAGCGAGGCTTAGTAAACAATAAAAGAGAGGGAGGCCGAGTTTGAGCCTTGCGGGACATCGATTTTAACGGTCGAACGGGTGATCTCTCGTTGTTCACGTCGACTTTCTGCTCTCCGTTCCTTAAAAGCAAGAGATTGGAAAATTCAGGGTAGGGTCGGTGAATCTATAGAAGTGAAGTTTCCTGATAAGTGAAAAAAAAGACGAAAAGGTTTATACGAGTACTCCTAAGCATCAAATAGTACTTGTTTCGATAGCTTTGTACCGGTTTCGGTCGTTCGTCAATCTCTTGCAAAACCGAATTTTATTTCCCTATTTTATTTACGTATTCAAATATATTCCAAAATTAACATCGGTCGACTTCAATTGAACAATAGACATATAACAATAGATATATTACAAACGTAACTATAAAAAGATTATCAATGATTATATTTTATCAATTTCTCATTCACAATATTTGTCCTGAAAAATACTTAAAAAAATAAAAATATTAATTATTAAAATACGCCGTGGAGGAGCGAAAAAGTAACGAGTGCTGGGAAGATTCGTCAGTCCTGTTAGGTCCCGTGTAGCTCAGCGGTCAGAACGGTCGCCCGGATTGCGAAAGGTCATGGCTTCGAGGCCCATCTCAGCGGACCATTGACAAAGTGGACTTCTTAAGCATTTTTCATTAAGATTACAACTCACCAATCTGTGGCGTGGTTGGAATGATCGTGGGCCGGCGGGCTCGGGCTCAGGAGCCGGGCGACCTATAAAGATGAACGAAAGCTAATTTGCATCCGAGTAAAGGTAAAAAATGAGTTCGGATTAAATATGGAAATGTGTAAAGGCACCTGCGTCCAGACGTCGTGGTAGAGGTCCTGCCCGCTGATGCCGGGCCGCAGCCCCACCAGCAGCGGCACGCCGAACAGCGCGGGCCGGCAGCGCTGCCAGCGCAGGAAGTACGCGTCCGCGCGGCACTGCTTCCTGCGCACCCGTAAACGAGACATGTATACGAACGAGACACGCTGCTGGCCCGGCAGAGAGGTCCGATTGAATAAATCTTTTATTACCGTTCGCAGTGGGCGTCGTTCGTTTAAACCTATGATGATTTTACTGCAGAATTGCCCTGCGAACCTCGCGTTTGTCATATATAACAGCGCAGAAGCCCAGCGGTTTAAGGTAATCGAGTAAAAGACGACTCACCTGTGCACCGCGACCAAGTAGTGAATCTTCCCCGTCTGCAGTCCGTCTGTTTTACCGTCCATCTCGCACATGTTCGAGGGCGACGAGCCAAACTTGACCTTGAGGCAAGGACTCGAAGGTTTCAAATTCAACGACTTGACGCTCATCGTGGGCGAGCCCGGGTCTCTCGTGTGTTCGGGGGAGGTGTCGCCCCCTGGCGGCCGCGCGTAGAACGCGCCGGGCGGGCTCTGAGACATCATTATCTCCGAGCGCGATCGCTGCAAACGTGCGCGACTCTCTCACACCGCCGTACATACAGCGAGGCCAGCTCGTACTACTCGTTATACTTTATTATATATATATATACAAACTTTCAGAAAAAGAAAACTACACGATTACTATTTATTTTTATATAGTGGAGAGACACAGGCCTTCCTTTGAGATTGAATCACATATGAAGGCCCAGTGTGGGTTGATGTATTTTTAATATTTAATATCGTCGTAATAAAAGAAAATTTTACCTTATTTATATTAAATTTAGATCTTTCACTTAAGGTATAATTTATCATATCATATTACTAACTTCGGGTTCTTCAAACATTATACATACCTAAAAGTTGTTGATAGCCAGAACTCACACACAAAAACAATAAGAAAAATGTTCAAGACAATTAACATAACACACCGACAGAACGTCATATAAAGTAGTACGAACCAGCACTAAATAGTTCACATTTACACATAACACTACACCAAATACCCTACCACTAGTAATATACTACCAACAGTAAATATGCCGCCTATACAGCATTACAAACAAGTTACTTAATAGTAGGTCTACACAACACTAACTTCGAGCTCTGTCTTTCTTATCAAAAATCACTGCAAACATGCACCTTGTCCGTGTACGTACAGCTGCAACGTGCAAACGCATATATATACTTCTCACTTCATTTGCAAAAGCTTTGTGAGCTAGTTTTGTGTGGAGCTACTTTAAATTAGCACAGGGTTGTCACAACATGAACAACTTTTGAATTAATATTGTAAAATTACAATTTTAAGTATACCTGAATAAATCTATATCATGACGAAATCGAGAGAGGCTCGAGAAATGGGCCGAGAGTGAGATATGCCCATAGGATAAGATATGCACAGAGCTCTCGCCCGTTTCTCGGGCTACTTAAATGCGTAAACACAAATATTATTTTTGTTTGACTTTGTGACAGCCCAGGTCATATGGGTGATATATACATGATGAATGATGTGACGGATGATTCTACTGGTCTATGCACTCTATACATCATGATAGAGGGTCGATTTCATAATTAAAAGAAGTCAGCTACTACAACTACTACAAAAAAAAAAGATATATTTATATAGATTTATAAGATAATTCTATGAATTAATTAAATTATTATTATTTTTCTTTGTAGTTTTTCAGTAGGTGTTAAGCTATGTTATGTATGAACAAAACTCAAGTTTCACGTAGTGCTTCAAATGGTAGTTGAAAGCGTTCATAAAAAAATAAACTGTTGGCACTTATCACAATGGAAAGATAATGTTGTACATTCTTTTTTGACCCAAAACTATATTTGGACATGTGCATAATATATATTTAAGATTTACCTCTGACTATGGTGCTCCAAGACATACTATATACAATTCAGACGAACAAACATGTAGCTCTTATCATAATTAAAGAATTATGTACATATTGATGACCATACAGCTTTTCTGTATTGCCAATAATTTTAGTACATTCTCCAATAAAACCTTCACCTCTTACTTTCAAATTCCCTTTCCGAATTTATCAATATATAGAATCTATATGAATATCTAGTGAGACTAGATTTTTTAATAGGTAAAATTATTTGGTGATGTTACACTCTTAGCTGTTGATAGTTACGTCGTATTAAACGAATTCCGTGCTAAAATACTATTATTTGATTAAAGGGCTAGAGGATCAAGGACATGGAGCCCGGTTTGAGAGGATTTAGCCTTTTCCATTAAAATTATAAGAGAAACGTGAAGAGTTGCTTTTTCCCCGAGCCACATTCACGAAGTATTTTTCCTATTTTACGATTGGCAACAAAATAATATTAATAATTATTATTATATTGGAAGCGTACTTGACAGTTATAGCAATAAATTAAGAAATATGTTGGCAATGTAAACAACAAAAGTATTTTTGTTTTAAAATAAATTGTAAATATTATATTTTATTTTCGTAAAATTAACAAGAACCTAAAAGCGGGAGGTCGTTGCGGAATATCATGGGTCGTTACATTTTAATGTATTAAATGTCGACGTCTTCGTTTGAACGTGTTTCTTTGCTTATAATGCCGCACTCGTGTTTATTAAAACATGCATTTAAAATTAATACATTAAAATTTTTATGTTATCTTTCTTTATACTACACTTTTATGAGAAAAGAAATCTGATAATGGCTTAATATGACCATATGAAAGTTATAAAACGCTTTTCCCAAAAAGTGAAGTATAAATCCCGTAAATTGCTAATGCGCTGGAACCTTGTTTAATAACACTCCCGTGACGTCATATGAAAATAGAAAGTAAAGATAGCACAAAAGGTAAGAGATAAATTATTTATTAATTATTGAAATATTTATGAATAATCCCTAAACTGTTACAATAATTAAATAACATTTAGTTTGTTAATTTATTTCATTAATTTTTGGAAAAGAATCAATTTATATGTATTGACTATTTTATGTTATTTTATGTATGTATTTGAGATATGGAGAGTAAAAAAATATATAACAATTACTTTATAATCATGAGATAACAAACAGAAAAGACTTTTTTTTTTAAACTTAACCATAAATACATAATAATGAAATGAGACATTAGATATAATAGTGAAATTATGTTTACTTATTGTGAAAATCATTAGCCGTTGCTATTTTAGTCAGTCACAACAAGTAACAACAAAACAATAACAATCGAAACCAACAAAAATGATGTGTGATCTCAACACAACCCAACTCATTAAGTGTATTTGTCAATCAGTGTTTATTTGTTAACGGTACTGGTTTTTGAACGCAATTACGTCATTAAAATGGCGGCTAGGTGCATTAATAATTTGCCAGGATTATACCCAATTATTTATTTTTGTTTTTAAGTTAGGAAAGCAAAATAAATAATGATGTAAGTAAAACAATCCCTGTTATGTGATTGAGTACAGAGTATTCAATCGCAAAAAAAGTTTGAAACCGATTTAGTTCGCAGGTTTGTTTCGGAAAGGGAATTCCCGTGGCTCACTATAGCTATTGCAGTGTCCAGTGTTAATTTAGCTGTCTGATTTTTAATTGCTAAGCTGTATTACGTATGCGTTCTTTAATTAATATAAAAATAGTTTGAATCTCACTTATATCGGTGTAGCTTCTTCTGCATTACAGTTTTAAAATACCCGTAAAGTAATACTTCGATATGTCGACAAAATCAGAGAGCTAGAGTATTTTTGATGTCTCGTGTATATACCTAATCAGTATGGGAAAAATACTTTTAAAATTTGCTGTCAGGTAAAATCGAATAATGCAGAAATACGTTATCTGTATAAATGTTGAAGAATATAACTAAATTGTATTGTCATATGACTGACTTAACCACTTCATAAATATTTTTTAGTTACTACCGACAATTGTTTTAATTTGAAGGTAGACTATATTTTTTACTGTCTCAAATTCTCAATTCAATTTCTTATTTTTATTTACTTATTGTTGTTATATTTTTTTTTGTCCAGTTAAAACAGTCCATTTAGAGTAGTGTGTAACGTGTGCGTGTGTGTGTGCGCGTGCTAACCTTGAAGCAGAAGAGTGCGGGCATGCAGAGCGAGTTTGCTTGTCCGCTGCGCGGCACACTCACCTCCGCCCATTGCTGAGCTTCCTCGCACCACCCTGAGGGTATTTATAGTAAGTTTTATTTTTGTTATGAAAACGAAATAAATCAATTAACTGATAAAAACAAAACAAATTCAATTTTAGTTTTTTCAATTCGTCAATTCGATAAAAAACAAAATAATCAGAAGAGAACAATGGTTTTGATAAATTATCCGAATTTCCATTTTCAGGGAAACAACGTTATCTTCTTCCTTTCCTCTTGTGGTAACAATCTGTGACCGGTAGAGCGAGAGCAACTGACCGTCGGCGTGGCGGTGGTGCGGCAGATGCAGCGGCGGCGGCAGCTGGTAGGCGGCCAGCTCGCCGCCCGCGCGCATCCGCGCCGCGTGACCTGTATATCTACATGCACGAACTACTGGACCGGTAGAGCGACTGACCGTCGGCGTGGCGGTGGTGCGGCAGATGCAGCGGCGGCGGCAGCTGGTAGGCGGCCAGCTCGCCGCCCGCGCGCATCCGCGCCGCGTGACCTGTATATCTACATGCACGAACTACTGGACCGGTAGAGCGACTGACCGTCGGCGTGGCGGTGGTGCGGCAGATGCAGCGGCGGCGGCAGCTGGTAGGCGGCCAGCTCGCCGCCCGCGCGCATCCGCGCCGCGTGACCTGTATATCTACATGCACGAACTACTGGACCGGTAGAGCGACTGACCGTCGGCGTGGCGGTGGTGCGGCAGATGCAGCGGCGGCGGCAGCTGGTAGGCGGCCAGCTCGCCGCCCGCGCGCATCCGCGCCGCGTGACCTGTATATCTACATGCACGAACTACTGGACCGGTAGAGCGACTGACCGTCGGCGTGGCGGTGGTGCGGCAGATGCAGCGGCGGCGGCAGCTGGTAGGCGGCCAGCTCGCCGCCCGCGCGCATCCGCGCCGCGTGACCTGTATATCTACATGCACGAACTACTGGACCGGTAGAGCGACTGACCGTCGGCGTGGCGGTGGTGCGGCAGATGCAGCGGCGGCGGCAGCTGGTAGGCGGCCAGCTCGCCGCCCGCGCGCAGCCGCGCCGCGTCCGGCAGCGCCCGCCCCAGCAGCGCGCCCGCCGCCTCCACCAGCATGAGGCTATTTATATATTTTTATTACTTCATTTGCAATTCCCGCGAAATCAATCGGTCACCTGATATTTTGAGCCGTGACGTCACATTTCAAAGTACATGAATACTAACATTTATACGAGCACAAATTGAAATTACTTGGAAATCCAGCAAAAAAAAAAAAACGTTGACGTTCTATTTCTTAAAATGTGACGTCAACGTTGCATTGATTTAATCTACGTTGTTTTAATCTACAGAACGAAATGTAATCTGCAGTTAATATGAGAAAATAAATGAACTTACAATTTATTTTAAAGCAAGAAATATTGCAAAAATATAATTGCCAAGTAGTCAATAAGCGTTAGATGATGGGTAACAATTTCTAAAAAGTCAAAAACCTTATAAAGAAGAAAGAGAAATCAATCGTTTTTAATGAAAATGAATTATTATGACATCATTTGTGGGAATAACTGTGAAAATTTAAAAAGATATTATCTATAACGGTAATTTTAACAATAACGGCATGTACTCACGATTCCGGTGGCAATCCGCATAGTTCAGATAATTTTTGTTTCAGGTCATAGTAAGTCTCGTCGGAGTTTACACGTATACCGTACTTCACTGGCACCGAACCGTCCAACAGGATCACTGTAAACAATAACCATTATAAACAGGAAAGTTTTTACTGCTTGTTTGTTTGCAACGACCTGTTCGTTCCGGAACTACTGGAACGATTTTAAAATGCTTTCACCTATGGGAAGTTACATTATATGCGGTAGACATAGGCTATATTTTATCCCGAAAAAAAAAAAAATAAAAGGAAAAAATGGGAATAGAAGTTTGTAACGGAAATGAAAACGTTACCATAGTGACATTGTTTACTATTCAATTTGTTAGTGTAATTATGTCCGTGTCATGATATGAAACTTTATACAAAGAATTATTAAATTAAATTCTACGCTTGGATTTACACAGGGGCTAGTTTTTGTTCCACTAAACAGTTCCCCAGGAACCACGCGGGGGAAGCTACTTGCGGAATAAATATTCTGATCGGTAGCACACCTCGACGGTTGAACGTCTCCTAAAAAATTGAGTGTAAACCATCACCTCTGATCTGCGTGCGCACGTAGGACTCCATGGGCAGCGGGAGGGAGAGCATGTTGAAGGTGTCGAAGCGCACGGAGTCCCGGCCGCAGGTGTCGCAGCGCACGCGGGACTTCAGCTGCCCGTAGAACAGCTCCGTCAGGATGGAGCGGTTGCGGGCCGTGTACGCCTCCCACGCCTCCGCCGCCGCGGCCTGGTCGGGGCGGGCGGCCGGGTCGGGCGCGGGCGGGGCGGGGGCGGGCGCGGGGGGCGGCGGCGGGGGCGGCGCGCGGTTGAGGTCCTCGTGCAGGTGGTCCAGCAGCCAGGCCAGCAGCTCCTGCGCGTCGTGCTGCCCGCCGCCGGCCAGCGCGCGCGCGTGGCGACTCACCACCCAGCGCACGCGCAGCGGCGCCACCGAGCGCGCGCTGCACGACCACACCTGCACACCGCGCCCCGGGATGTCACCGCTTTGCAGTATGGAACTCGTTCGAGGGTATTATTCCGATCTGATCGCCGATCTGGTCGATCGCATTTTGTATCATGGAAAAATATATTCCATTCCGACCGATAAATTTCTCAACGAAACGACTTTTTAGTCGATTCGATAGGAATAATTTGTTTACTCGTATTCTTTTACCCAAAAATAAAAAATAAAACTATTTCGATTTCGATAAAACGTATACGGGACCGTCCCGGACCCCGACAATTTTTTGACAATTTTTTTTAATCGGTCAACGATTGACGAAAAGATCGGTGAACACTCATTAAAAACATACATCGCCGTCGCCTCGTTTTCGATTTTAAAGTCGAATAAAAAGTTTTGCTGATAAAAAGAAATAGTTGATGCATTTAAAGCTGTGTGAACGGAAATAAATTTCAAATGATAAAATATACCTATCGGATCTACCATAAACAAACCATAAAAGTTGTTTGTTGAGAAAAATAGTTGATATTTTAGTTGATCAGTTAGTCAGAGTGTACAAATATCGACTACCGTGGCTATCTGTCAGTGATCGGATCATGTCCCTTTGACGTTAACATAAGATGAAATTCGCGCAGACCATGTACCACCAGATTAGGGTTTTTTTAAGCATTTTTCAGTATAGCATTGTAGCTTTCGGCTGTTTAGGTGAATTGCCTGAACATTAATGAGAATGCCCTATGTAGTAGCGAAAAAGTAACAAGTGCTTGAAAAAGTAGTCACTCCTGTTAGGTCCTGGGTAGCTCAGTGGCTAGAGCAGTCGCCCGGATAGCGAAAGCTCATGGGTTCGAATCCGATCTCAGAGTGCCAGGGATCAAGTGGAATTTGAAGCATTTTTCATTAAGAGTAACAAAACCTATATCGACGGCGAAGTGCCAATACCTCCTATCTAACATTTTTCGAGAAAATGACTTTTTTATTTCATTGACGTTAAGGTCGTTTTCCACATGGGTTCATGAAATCACCTATCCGTATTTTTTACGACAACTGGAGAAAAATGAATGTGGAAATAGCTTCTAACTAAATTAGCGTATATAATTTATGGCAATTTCTCCTATCTACGTACAAGACTACTACATCTCAACGCGGAACATTGCCGATTAACTTTTCACAGCGGCTGCCGCGCCGCGGCTCGTGATATGGGTGAAGTTAGCGGTAGGGTTGCGTCACGTCACTTGCGAGGGTGTAATATCAATCGTATGTACATGGCTAGTATGTACAGGATTACCAGCATGGAGGCGAAGACATAGCTGTCAGGTAATTTGAGGTACCTGAAGGACTCAATATGCAATATACCAATCCTGGGGATGCCTACTGACACCATGCCCCCGAGAATCGATTCACGCAGGTCATATCTTGTGGAGATACCCACCAGGGACGACTGGTCAAACAATCGTATAGTATGGAAAAATGGAAGCCTAAAGTGGTACACTGACGGCTCCAAATCCGGTCCTGAGGTAGGATGTGGAATTCATGGAGAAGCCTCAAGGAAGGCTATAAGTCTGAACATGGGAAAGTACTCCTCAATATTCCAGGCAGAGGTGTACGCCATTTTGGAATGTGCGGCAGCCAATCTGCAAAATAACTACCTCAATCATACTATCTACATCCACTCTGATAGTCAAGCTGCACTCTTAGCACTAGCTTCCGACATAACCAGATCGAAGCTGGTAGAGAACTGCAAACAGACATTGAACTCTTTGGGCAACAACAACAAAGTAGTTCTACGATGGGTTCCAGGTCACGCTGGACACGAGGGCAATAAACAGGCGGACAAACTGGCGAAGAAGGGTGCTAAAGACGCCCTTATCGGACCAGAACCTTTCTGTGGCATCCCTCAAAGCCTAACCCAGCTCACCTTGAAAACATACTGCCACTACGCAGCTATTCAACTATGGAGAAACACTCCGGGTATGAAACACTCTAAGACCCTGATTAAAACCTTCAACAAAAAGGCGGCATCAGAGGCCTTAAACTTAACCAAAAATCACCTTCGCACACTAGTACGAGCACTCACAGGGCATTGTGGACTGAACAGACACATGTACAATATGGGGATCAGCGGCAGTAGAATGTGCAGAGGATGCAAGGAGGAAGAAGAAACACCTTTGCACATTTTGACCGATTGCCCGTCACTAATGCGAAAACGATGTATCGATCTGGGAAAGCACGTGATGCACCCAGACGATATTAAAGAACTTACGGCCAAGAAAATACTACAGTTCCTTGTAGAATGTAATCTTGACCGTGAACTGTAGTATGTGGAGATCACAATAGATCAGCAATGGTCGCAGTGATACTGGGCTGCATAAACCCAAGATAATCCGCAACTCGAAACAATACAACAATATCAATCGTAAAAGCAATTTTTCAAAGTAATTATTGTTTTAATTAAAATCAATACCTTCTATCGTACAATTTATTTAATGAAATCACTGAGGATGTTAAACCAATACCTTCTATCTAACCAAATACCTACTAAACGATTATTAATCAAATTAATATTTTATTGAAACCTAAGCCTGTCATATTGATATGTGCTCCATATAAATTGATTTCTTGATTTTAACGTTTTCAAGAAATTAAACATTTTTTTCACTTTGTGTAAAATTTTGTCTGTGTTAGTTAGAAGGTATTGGCACTTCGCCGTCGATATATTATAATATGAAATAAATCACCTCCTTGCATAGTTCACCGAATCGTAACGCGAGGGCGCCTCTCGTGCCGAGCGGGTTGGTCGTGTTCACCTCGTACAGGTGCATGCCCGAGTTGAAGTACTGCGTCAGAGGTTCCGTGTTCCACACCTGTATCATAACGTACAACTAGCCGAGCAAATTTGCGATGTTGATAGAAATATATTATTTTTTATTATTAATAGAGGACGTCACTATAGTCACAAAAAAATAAATTAAGTGGGCTAATGACCCTGGACTAAATGAAGTATTTATAATTTTTTCTCTAAAAATGAAAATGTCATTTTTAAACTCCTTTAAAATTTAATAAAATAGGTTTTATTTATTTATTCGTAAATGTAGCCAAAAGATGACTCAAATAATTTAAGAGTAATCACTTTGGATCCAGATTTGCACTGCCAGTGCCGTGGACGTAGGATCGTCTTAATATACCAACAAGAATGGCTGTCATACAATCTGTGAGGTCAGAATCGTTTGATGCAAGTCAGAGCGAAACCCAAAGTGAACATAGTCCAAGGTGAGGTTTAAGAGGCTATTAAGAATTATTTTGGCACTTTTATTCTATGAAACATGCTACCTCTGTATACCTTTCTCAAATCTTCGCTCTACCTTGCTATTGGTCTTCTTACTCCACGCTTGCCGATTAGCGGTATCCACTCTAGAACTCGCTTACCCCATCGGTTATCGGTTCGTCGACAGACATGGCCAGCCCACTGCCACTTCAGCTTACTAATCATGTGTGCTATGTCGACGACATTGGTTCTCTGTCGGATGACCTCGTTATTTATTTAATCCCTTAGAGAAACTCCGAGCATAGCGCTTTCTATATGTTGCTAGGTGACTTTGAACTGGTTTACCAGCAACACTGTGAGTGTCCATGTTTCATTACCGTAGGTCATGACCAGTGGTCGGAATTAGGTAGAGTTATTCATGTACTTACACTGATTTCATACAGCTAAAGAATAAAGTGGATATGCCTCAAATCCCGAGATTAATTTTAAAGAGCAGAATTAATCCCGTGATTTTTTAAATAAAAAGTTATTTACTTTTACACAATTTAAACAACTGCACGCACGACGTTGCCAAACTTACATCAATGAAAGAAAGAAATAAAGAAATCCCGGGAAGGCCTACATTAATATCAACATTTCGATGCAAGTACATAAATAACTCTACCTAATTCCGACCTCTGGTCATGACGAATGCACTGATTAAAAACTTTTGTTTTCAAACATCGTGGCAGAGACGATGAGAAGACTCGACGTAGTATGCCAAACACTGCCAAACCCAGCAAAATTCTAGTTTTGGCCTCTTTTCGAAATTGTTTCGACCGAGCTACAGAATCTGCCCGAGGTAGTTATATTCGGAAACAATTTCGAGCTCGTATTCATTTATATTGATAGGGTCTTGGATCTTGAAATAAATAAAAAAATCTATGTGGTTATTGATCATTACTTTGGTTTTATTTGGATACATTTTTAGACCTATTTTTATACTATGCCGTCTGAAAATCGCTAGTGCAAGATGTAATCATCGTTTATGCTAATGCCCAAGCCTTTCCAGTCAAGCGTCCTGAACATATCCTCCAGTTTGCTTATACACAGTTCCGGGGATATGACATCGCCCTGTCTCACACCTCCCCCTAGATGGGCTTAGATTTTTGGTTCTGTACTTCGACATTCAGACAGAATTTCGTCCCTTCGTCCCTAAGTATCTCGACTACATTACTCAAGAGTCTCGTCCACGATTTTAAGGAGTTCCAAAGAAGCGAATCTATCTCCGAGCAGCCTTTGGAACTTTTCAAATCGCCATGACTTGGATTCAGCCAGACCGAAGCGCAGATTTCATCAGAAGTCTTCTTTCAAGTTTAAGATGAATTTTGAGAGAGCCTCATACATACCGATGATCGGATCCGGTATTAAATCTGTTGAGCACTGAGATATCTCTAAATACATGCTTTTTATCCGTCATGATGAAGTCGATCTCATTTTTTGTTACATTATCTGGACTTCGCCTTTCTTGCTTAAGGAAGTTTACAAGTAATTGTCCCCTATTATTTCGGTACTTCCAAAAGCACGAGGTCCTGTTTTGAACTCGCTGCATTCGCAAAATTCCACTTTAGCATTGAAGTCCTCTATAAAAACTTTGAAACGGGCCTTGGTGATATTGCTCTTGGCTTTGGATATGTCTTCATACATTTACTCCACCTAATTATTTGAGTGCGTTGAGGTCGGGCCTCTTACATAAGCGAAGAATTTGGTACGCTACCCTATTTGACACACTAGAGATCCTCAACGCTGTCGAAGAAGGTTTTATGAACGAGAAAGCTGACGCCACCCTGACATCTGTTCGTCCTCGTGGTAAAACAGAAGGTGGCCAGAGTCCAGCCTGATGGCGTCCTGTCTCTCTCTACGGACTTCACACAGGCCGAAGATATGCCACCTTATATTGTCCAGGTCCGTCTCTAGCCGAGTCAGATGTTCATTCAGCCGAAGAGTTAGTCCGTTGGACGTCGCCAGGGTCAGGTGTAACGAGCGGCCTCCCATAACCCGGGGAATCTTCTTAAGACCGCCGTCTCGGCCAGGCCCAGCAGGGCCACTGGAAACTGGCAGCTATTTATTTGTGGTGTACATCACAGGGGAGGGATTTCGCTCACAATCGCTACGTCGGTCGATCTGTTATTCGGGATAGCCGAAAAGCCTTTTTAAAAAACAAATATTTCACTCGCGACGATTTATCTATTATATCAATATATGCTAATATTTAGTACTACTAAAGAAGCTCTGAAGAGAGGCTGCCGAGTAAGCTTAGCAGTTGCTACAAGCTTAAGTACAGAAAGATACAACCGATGCTACGTACCGCCTGCAGCGCCGCGTTCATGTAGCACGTGTTGCCGAGGTTGTGCAGCCCCGTGGCGCCCGGCAGCTGCGGCGCCACCAGCGTGGAGCGCCGCTCGCTGGCGCGCGATCCGCTGCAACCGAACGCGGCCGATACAGAGATGCCCACTGCCTGTACTCATTCGTGTTGGGATATACCCGATCACACATACCTGAGCGCGCCGATCTCCTCGGGCCAGGTGAGGTCGGGGTTCCGCTTCTCCAGCAGCAGACGCGGCCTGTCCCCCAGCCTGAGCTCCTGCAGGGTCGGCCGCTCGTCGTCCAGCAGGACGCTGTTGGCCCCGAGCGCCCACAGGCGGACGTCCTCGCGCGCCAACCCTAGCGCGGCGCACAGGAACTCCGTCACCTAAACACCGAAACATACGAGCGTTCGTAACGGGCCCTGTCCGTTTCAACGACACGAGGAAATCCTTTCAAAAGTAGAAAAAAAATTATATTTTGATAGTTTTATTGACGTGCGATCTGTTCGCGGAGGCCGGTTATGATGCCTCCCGACCGAGAAACTGGACAAACATTATGTTCCGTCTTTCTCTCTCTCTCTTTTCTATTCTGCTGTCATGGTGTCTGCTGTTTTGGTGCTTAAAATAAAATACGTTTCAAAATAGATATCTAAGTTTTATCGAATAAAGAGTCCATAACCCTAAAACAGAGAATAGCACGCTCGGTACGGTGTACCTGTTTGACGGTGGCGAGTCGGGAGAAGGCGGCGGTGTAGGCGAGTTGCCGCTCGGGGTAGCCGCCCCCCACCCCCGCACCCAACGCCGCCCCCGCCCCCGCGCCCGGCCCCGCCCCCGCGCCTGCGAGCCGCGCACACAACAAACATTAACGAGATGCACCGTCTCTATTGACGCTCAAGCTCATAAGTACGACCTCCACCGACCGAAATTTCAATTTCTATCTTCATTCTATCATCACTATAGGCGTACCTCAGGGATCGGTATTAGGATCATTGCCTTTTCTAATTTACATTATTGATCTTCCTCACTTTACGTTTGTTCGAGACAGTATTATTTGCAGATGATACCTCTTTACTGTTTAAAGTTAAGAGGGGTAATGATTGTTTTGACGATGTAAATGATGCTCTCGACAACGTTCTACAGTGGTTTGATAATAATAATTTAAAGCTCAATTCAAATAAAACGAAATGCATAAAGTTTGCATTACCTAATGTGAGGCATGTCAGTACACTTATAAAAGTAAATAGTGAAAAAGTTGAGTTGGTAGAATCGACAAAGTTCTTTGGTATTACACTAGATTCCCGACTGCAATGGGATCCTCATATTGATAGCTTGTCAAGTAGACTGAGTTCTGCAGCTTTTGCTGTTAAGAAAATTAGACTCTTGACAAATGTTGAAACGGCAAGTTTGGTATATTTTAGTTATTTTCATAGTGTAATGACGTATGGTATATTGTTGTGGGGTTCTGCGGCTAGCATTCAGAATATTTTTATTCCACAAAAGAGAGCTGTCCGTGCTATATATAATTTACGGTCTAGGGAATCTCTCAGAGAAATATTTAAAGAAATAAATATTCTAACTGTTGCCTCTCAATACATCTATGAGAATATTATGTACACAAGAAAACTTTACGATTCCTTCACAAAAAAAGTAGTGTTCATAATCTTAACACAAGAAATAAAAATAAACTTGCCGTTCCAAGCTACCGACTTCAAAAAACCAGAGAATCATTTCTGGGTAAATGTATTGCTATGTTCAATAAAGTTCCACGAAATGTAATTGACCTACCCATAAAAAAATTTCAAATTCATGTAAAGAATATACTTATGAGTAAAGGCTATTATAAAGTTGATGATAATTTTAAGGACCGTAATGCATGGAATTAATAGCCTTCGCTCTGTTCTATAACGATTAATTATAGGTATGTACCAACCTATATCCTACAGACTTTGAAACTTGTATTTATTATTGTTCAATATATGTATTATTTTGGTAATGACATGATTTATGTAAATGTCATTACTTATAATAAAAAGCTGGTAAGTTTCTTTCGCTTGTTCTTCTTGTCAGCTAAAAGACGTCTTGCACAAGTGGTAGGGGAAAAAATATTTTTGGACCATTCAAAAGTGCTTGTAACAAGCTTACTTGAATAAAACATTTTCATTTCATTTCATTCATTTGGTCGATACCGCTAATAGAAGACCGAGACACGAAAGCGTTCTTTAGACATCGAGACCGCGCGTGACGTGAGGAGCTCTACGTCGACGTCGTCCGGTCGCTGGAGATCGTACTTTAAAGTTATCGACATCATGGTCCACACTCGATTTTTGTATCGTATATTTGTATATGTATTACTAAAGTTTAAAACGAACGATCGTCGACGACAGTATGACTCAAAAGGTACTCACTTTGTGTGCTCGGTACGTGCCTTAAAATCTTCAGTTCCAGGGGGTACAATTCTAATTCCACATCAGAGTTCGGCGGTCTTATGACCTGCAATGACAAAAGATATAAAATTGCAATTGATTTTTACTGCCTTATAAATAAAAAAAACTAAAAACTATAGGGAGATCACGTTTATGAAATACTTAGAGGGCCCGCCACAGCGCGTCCGGGACCGGCCCGAGGTCCCGGGGCCGTCACGTGTATGTGTGCAGTCGGGTACCTGTCTGGGCAGCGGGTCGGGGCCGCCGTACCAGAGCGCGAGGGCCCGCCACAGCGCGGCCGGGACCGGCCCGAGGTCCCGGGGCCGTCACGTGTATGTGTGCAGTCGGGTACCTGTCTGGGCAGCGGGTCGGGGCCGCCGTACCAGAGCGCGAGGGCCCGCCACAGCGCGGCCGGGACCGGCCCGAGGTCCCGGGGCCGTCACGTGTATGTGTGCAGTCGGGTACCTGTCTGGGCAGCGGGTCGGGGCCGCCGTACCAGAGCGCGAGGGCCCGCCACAGCGCGTCCGGGACCAGTTCGAAGTCCCGGTGCTGCGCCAACGTCACGTCCCGCCGCAGATGGCCGCCCTCGCCGGTCAGGCTGCGCACCTGCACAGGACATAGCCCGCTGTAGTCACCGATCGGAGCGGGACAAGTGCAGCACATCAGAGGTAGTCGGCGGTGGGACCTTGAGCGGGTTGTGCGCGCGCAGCCGTTTGTTGTGGACGGGCCCGGGATGGGTGGGCGGCCGGTTGGCGGCCGCGCTGCTGACGCCGCTGCTGCTGGCGCTGCCCACCGACGCCGTCTCCGCGCGCCACAGCAGCGAACCCATCGACTCTGCAACGTCACACCACACCTCTACATACACGCCTACATACATGCATCCCAATGAACTGATATCCTATCGGGCGCGCGCCTGACCGGTGGAGTTGCTGGTGAAGCTCTCGTCGCAGACGATGGCCTCGTCGACGTGGCGCGGCGCGGCGCGGCAGCAGGCGTCGTCGCCGCCCGCCGTGTAGGCGAGCCAGGCGCCCCACCACTCCGCGCCCACCAGGTACCAGAACTGGCCCACCGAGTAGCCGCGCTGCACCTCCCGCCGCAGCCATCCGAGCACTGTACGAGACACGACAATTTTATTTTATTTCATTATTGGAGGAGACACTCTTTTTACACAATTTAGACAATAAAAAAAAATATTTAAATAGACCTGGAGTTCCATTCAATTCAAAATTAAATGTGATACGATATACAAAAGGTATACTGCTACGAAAATCTGGTACCTATCACACAAGTTACATAATTAACAACATTATTTTTTTAAGAAAATTGAATTTAGTGACATGTAGCATATTGCATATTTTTTTCTTATATCTGCCGATTAATGATGATGATTTTATATTAAGTTCCGATTGAAATAGCGGAAGGTACATCATCAGCTGCACAGAGAATGCTTTGCAATCCCAAAGACGGGTTGTAGGTAGGTCCTTGTATTGTGGAAATTCAAAAGCACAACATAAAACTAAACTTCGATATATAATGGGAAATATGCACTTAGTTTATTTAATTAATCATTCATAGCTTCAATATAAAGTAAAAATATAAATAGGCTTGAAAATTATCTATTTTTTTTATTGCAATCGAAAATTTCAATTCATTTCAAACGCCACTAATTAGCGTCGTGTCCCGATACAGTTACTTCATAATATTCTTAGTTTTTATTAATATACAAAATAATGGCAAAATTAAAAACCTTCATATAAGTATTGAATTTCTCTTCTTTATTTTTCACTTTTTGTTTAATATTTTCTGCGTTATAATAATAAATAACCAAAATATACTTTTAAGGTCTAATATGGAGACGTTAAAGAATATAAAAAATTGAGATTAATTAACAAGACATAAAAGGTATTGTCATTAAAAAAATGAGAACGCTAACAAATGAAAACATAACGTTCCATTGCCAAGAGGGCAAACCAAACATGATTTGTGTGTTTAATAAAATTATTAAACACTCGGGTGAAATATGAAATTTCTCTGGTGTAAATAAATCATTCGAAAAGTAGGTAACGAGTAGAGATTTCTAGTATATTCCGTCCATTACATTCTGAATTAAGATAACATACAATTGACGCAATGATAATCCGATCAATTGTTTAAATAATCCGATTGTAATTGCTTCAACATGTTTCTCTCGTGAGCTCGTGAGGCGCCTTAAAAGAGTTTACAAAGTAGTAACCTAAAGCTACTTATATTAAAATCGAATCGTAAAATTTTAACTAACTACATACATAATAACAAATATTATTAATATAACATATTTTTAAGTGAAAATTGATAATTAAGATGGAAGGAAGAAATAGTCGTAGACAATGATGAATGTGTTATGCCACCTAAACTTCAATCTCGATAACGCGATAAAATATAATCTCAGTGCAAACCTTGTTGAAAGGACGATGCACTGTCATTTTAATGTCGTCTCTGTAATTCAATGGAATATTCATTAGGTATACTATCAGCTGCATACTGGCTCATTATAGTATGGTGATACAATAGAATACAAGGCTTCGGTTCATTTCAACTATGTATAATAAAATGTTTAACTATAACCTGTGCCGATTTAATGTTTCATTTATTCATTTAAATTAATGATTTGCATATTTATATTACTCGATAAAGATTTATAAAAAAAGCACTCGCTAATGTACAGTCAACAGCACGCCAAGTCATGCAAGAAAGGTCAAAAGCCTTCGTTTGACTTTGAATTATAATGCAATGACCGAAAGTTCTATGTTCTATGGTTATACTATGTATGATACAACTTCTCTCGGTCACTTTTTACGACCTTTTACGTTTTTTACGACGTTACATGTTTTCTAAATAATGTTTAAAATTTCACCATTCTATTTATATATCGAGTTATCAGTTGACAAGTGTAAATATAGATGTTAGAAATAAAAGATAATGTCAACCATATGACGTCAGTAGACGAAGGAAGCGTTTAAGTAAACAAACATTATTTTTTAACTTTATTTAACCAAATATCAATTTTTTATTAGAAAAATCGTTAAATATCGGTCAAGTGGCCGGTCGCAGGTAAGTCGCAGCAGACGAGACGTATTTTTGGATTAACAGATAAGAATGTTTGTTTTGGTGACAATAAAAACACTTGTTGCTAGGGTTAGCAAATTATTTTCACACAGAGAATTTTTTTTTATTCTAGTTATAGAATTGCTCAGTTGCTACGGATGATCACATAAAATAGTTGAAATAATATGCGTTCTATACCAGTTTTCCAATGAATTAATTACTAATTATAATCAATGATTTAACAAAAGAAACAATAATAAAAGAAGTTTATATGTACATTTCTTTCATACGGTGACAACCATATACTTAACAAGTATGCTAAAGACACAGCTACTTAAAGATAAGAATAATGTTTACTACCCAATTACATTCCTGAATGCGAACTAATTATATTTTGCAAGACGAGTCAAATCTTATGCTTGACTTTTCTACATAGAATTTGGTCCATAATATTTTTGTTGGTAAAGTCATCAACGACGAATAGTCAACATTGCACTAGGCATTAATTTTACATTTTTTTCTATGGGATCGTTTTTAGGCGTTTTTTTTTTCGTGTGCACACTTCGTTGGAGAGACATCTTGGTAATTCTTTGACCGTGAAAACTATCTGAACAGCGGCGTTAGTTCACGGCTCACGATCTGCTAAAACTGTAGCTTATGTAATGAGCGCGGACAACAATAGAGCGCACTTGTACTTTTACTAGACGTTAGGCTTCGCTGCTTCCGTATAAATTAAACGCTCTTAATTATATTAAATGCAATGAGCATAATATATGTATAGACAATTTAAATATAGCAGTAAATTTGGTTAGTATTCGCTTTAAAATAATGTGTACAGTTGTTCCTCAATGAGAATGAGCTATAACCAGTCACACAGCTCCACCACGGATTGGTGGTCTTTAATGACTGCAATTGCAGACGGGCCCAACGGCTTAACGTGCCAACCGAACTACGGAGAAGCTCGAGAGTATATGGTAACCAAAAATATCACAAATTTTATGAATGGGCCGTCCGAAACTCGCTGAACTTCTTCATGGCAGGTCAAAACCGCTAACCACGCCATTTGGTTTCCTCACATTTAAAATAATGTGGTTACTAGTTTTCTGTCATATTTATTGGTCTGCATCAGTACATATTTGACGGAAAATCGTCGTGTATAGCGGGTTGCGGAAGTTAAACAAAACTGACAAATATACAGTATGACATTCAACCCTGCACATTCGACTGATGATGATTCTTGAGACGTTTGAGAGATCTTCCGTCAGATATGTGGCGACCCTATGCGATGTGCAAACACAACACAACAAAAGAATCCGCTAGTTGAACGTCGTGGTGTTAGTCATAGAGTCAAAATCCGATAAAAGTGAACACGAGTACGCGCTAGAAACGTGTCTCCGAACGCATCCTAAGTCATCATCGTAACAGCTCGTAATAGTCCTGCTGCAAAACAAAGGGCCTCCTCCATATCAGTGAAGGGTTTGGCCATAATCTAAATAGAGTCGGCCTGTACGACATGCGCGGCACCTATATACTGACCGATGTCCCGCTCCTGGTGCGCGCAGTGCGGCCGCAGCCCCAGCACCACGTGGCACAGCTCCACCAGCAGCTGCAGGAAGGGCGCCACCAGCGCGTCCGCGCTCTCCACGCTCCAGATGAGGAAGTCCTCCTGGGTCAATGCCATCTCGTCGCCGGCCTCGGCTTTTTGCTGTCAAAAATACATTTTTTTCATAAACTTCACTATAGAGTTGCCTAAGAAGTTATAGGTATACGTGATCCGTCTTATAAGCACGACAGGTTAACACGAAACGACCGTTTCCCGGAATAATCGTTGAACTTAACGACATATGTATTAAGGTTAAAATTAGTTTTGTATTATATTATGCCCTATTGATTGTACCGCTTGAGTATTAAGTAACCTTGAACTATTAACGAGTGATAAATACATAAAAAGAAGTCGAGGATGAGTAACAAATTATTTGCAGTTATAATAACACAATACCCTCTCAAACAACCGTCGCAAATTCCCTATGTAGAAATAAGGGTCGGTGCAATTCTGAAGTTCCGTCAAGCGTCTCAAGGAAGTACGAGTTGGTACGCCACGAAATTTCCGTTGAATGCGCAAGTTTGAATGTCGTCAATACATAGCATAAAACTAGTCGGTTTCCGTCTATCTATCCCGATAATTGCTTCGATCTTTAAAACTACGCAACGGAATTTGATGTGGTTTTCTTAAATAGATAGGGTGATTCAAAATATTTTTTTTTATGTATAATACAGGACTACGTGGGCGAATCCACTGGCGGAAAACTAGTATGATATAAATTATCAGTTCTGACGTTTGGCGATCGACGAGGCGACACGCGAAGCATCTTCCGTCAGATTATACACCGAGCCCAATTTCACAAAAACCCGGTAACAACTGCATTCGAAATATGTAAAAAAATATGCACATTTTTCAACATACATTGAATATGTGGTGTCATTTTTGACTGACGATTCATAATCAAGTGGGTACAAATTTTTAGGTTTCTGTTGTAAAAAGATATTATTCTATGATAAATTGCTTTGTTGTGTAAAACAAAACAGTAAATATGACATCGGCTACTATAGAACCCAACGCGCCCCGTGTTCTGACACACACTTTTTTCAAACATATCAACGTCGTTCAATAATAGAAATGTAATAATATTCCATTCGTTAGGAGGTGGTGATAAATAATCAAAGCTGACGTTTCATTGCATAGTGACGCCGACGCGGAAAAATTTGAATCGGATATTAGAAAACTTCTTCCTTCCTTCAAATGATTGGTAATTCAAATCAAATTGCATTATCATCGGTGACAAAGGTGTATTACGAATTTCGGTTCAATCGCAAACTGACCCGACCCAACCCTAAATAGTTAATAAAAGCTTGTAATAAATCGTACTGCGTGTGTAGGGGTAAGGGTAGGTGCAAACCTGACGAAGGGGTCTCACAAAAGTATTCACACATATATTAGACACAGTATATGACCCGCATGTTGCTAACGCGCTGGAATCTCGTCAATTATCACTATGTAATTTAAAAATAGAAAGTACAGATAGCAAAAATGCAATAGATAAATTATTTAATAATCCCCAAAATAGGGTTATTATAATTTATTATTGGTAAATTGTAAACTTTTAGCAAAATAATTTCTATGAAGGCCAATTTATATATTAATATGGAGGTATATAAATGACAAAAAAATGTTATCTACTTGCGAAGAAATTTAAAATTTGCGACGGTTGCTACATAGGGTATTGTGTAATTATAACTGCAAATAATTTGTTTCTTTTCCTCAACTTCTTTAGCGAAAGTCAAAGGTCAATTTTTAAAACATTGCCAAAATTATTGATGAAATAGAAACATCAGATATAATTACATTTTAATGAAATCAGATTTAACTACATATTATGGAAATTTTAGATGCAGTTGCTATTTTAATTAATCAGAATAAGCAACAACAACACAATGACAATCGAAAACATACAACAATAGTGCGTGGTAGGTGTCCGTATGCGCACTCGTCAGCAAGTGTTTATTTGCTAACGATACACAACCGTCAATAGATTACGTCACCAAAATAGCGGCCAGGAGCGCTAGCGATATGCGGTTGTGTTTTATACGCGATGGATCATCCATCGAGTGTGCAAGGTCGGATGTCATATTATCATTATAATTTGTCAATTCTGATGTTCCGCGACGCGACGCATCTATCATACGATACGCACTGAGCTCAAGTGATAAGATACTTTTACTGTCAGATAATTAGTGTTGCAACTAAAATATAACATACCTTATTAACATCAACTGACCGATTAAGACCGTGAGAGATTGGTATTTAGTTAGCGATAGTAAAATAATTCATAATAAAAAGTAAAATGAAAACTATTTATAAAAGAAAATATTGATTAAACCTTGCATGTTATTGCATTAATTTATTCTTATACACTAGGCAGACATGTGAATATTCAAGAACATGTTTGCATCTGACTTACATTTATGACGAAAAGTTATTATTATGTGGTGCCCTTGTGTTATAAATAGAGTTAAGATAATAAGACATTACATTCATACTCCCTTGAAATGATGACAATACATACTACGTCACGTCACATAAAGGTAGAAAAGTACGACATCCACGCCCGGGTGGCTCGCACGCCGGTTTCAAGGCATCGCCATCTCCGAGGTCCCGGTTTCGATTCCAGGCCGGCAGGCCTACCGTGCAAATATATTGGGTACACTATGCTTGGCGTTGGTTTAATCAAAGTGCACTCAACTTTCTATCTGTATTCTCATACACACCACGTTCAAGCCGAATCAAACGCACGTGCAATAAGGAAATGATACAGATTTCCTACTGAATAGTCTAATATTTATCTATCAGGCTTGCTGAATCTGATCTTATTAATATTTACTTTTGCGTTAGTAAAAATAAGTTAAATTAAATTGATATGTATGTAATAACCATTCCCGGATAAGGCATTTATTTGTAGATTTTTAAAACACTTTATCTTTTCTATGTGTAAACATATAGCGATAATTACTTTTGGCGCTTGTCTCAAAAAACTATTTAATTACGTATTATAAAAACAAATAAGTATAGAAAACGTTTGTGTGGATGAAGAACCACAATATTTGTCTGTGTGTTTCGAAACGTAGCCTATACTTAGAGAGATGTATGGCGAACCAATAAAACCTTATTCGACTCTCGTCGATGTGCACGTCACGATATCGAAATATGTCCAATTTAATAAACCTTAACGCATGCAAATTAAATTCAAAAGCGACTATAGATATTTGACATTATCTAGTAACCTGATAGGAATTCGTATAGTACACGAGTAAAGCCGCCAGAACTCTACGTTTAGGCGTTCATTGATAACACGGCAGTTTAATACAATGTAGTAATAATGTGCCACAATCGACAGTGCAGTAATTGGATGCTCTAAATTACCTAAGAAAACTACTGTTTATGAGCACCTACGATCTATTAGAATATGTAATCATTTTCAATTGCCGCATTGTGCAATAATAAATGATGTATATATAGATATATATATATACAGATGCGAGACTACCTGTGATCCATTATGGAATATACAGTAGAGATTCAGTTGTTACGTTTTAGAGTTGTATATATGTATATACTATTCTTGTCTGAAGGGCACAATTATTATCACTTAATAGTATTATATTTTTTGTGGGCTTGTTTTCTAGTTGACGAGGTCGTCGACGTTTAATAAAAAAAAATATGATACAAATTGCTCTGTGATAACAGTACATCACTGCTGAATTCCTTAGTTATAACGTTATATCTCAATGAATGTGTATTAATATATGATTATCCGTGCATATCTTGAAGTAAAAGAGAAACGCAATGTTTTCTATAATGTTATCCTGCTCTAATAACGATATACTGATGCTAAACGGCTCGTTTGTAGAGAAGTAAAGAGACGTAGAGTAAAATATAAAGCCTAACTAGATATACGCACCTATACTGAGTCATTTGTCTTTATACACTCGATATAATTGTATCCGCTATCAATGAATATACTAAAAATTCCAAATGTAATAATGTGCCAATTTTGCCCATTTTTAGACATTTTTTATTCATCTTTGCAAAAGGCAAATTATCTGCTTCTCAGTTGTTTTCCCTAGCAATTTGCAATACAGACAATGATTAATCTCGGGAATATGACGTCTAGATACCATAAGCCATTATAATATATAAAGTAAACACATTTATAATCTAAATTAACACACATCTTCAAGGGTTCAATTAAGTCTAGGGTAAATTTCGTATCTTCATAACGCATTTAAAATGGATGCCCTATAAATTAAGTATACTAATTTCAGTAAATGTTTTCATCTGCGTAGCTTGAAACAAGAATCTGACTAAGTGTTATGTATATTATATGAATTGAATGTTATAATTGATTATACCAGTACAGGGTCTCCAGCCGCAGACTTTGCCGTACTTTTCGCCTGATCGAATGTATGACATCAATTCGAAATGCGTGAGCTCGGTGATGTAGTGGATAAGCACTGCGGCACGCGGTCGTAGTTGTTAAGCATCTTTCGCGAGGATCGGTCAAGGGATGGGTGACAAAAAAAAATTTGTCTCAGGATACTCTGTTCGGAAGGCATGTTAAGCCGTTGGTCTCGGCTGCATTTGCAGTCGTTAATACCTTCCAATCCGCATTGGGTCAGCGTGGAGGGTCATGGCCCGTTTTCCTTAACCATTCATAAGGAAAGCCTGAGCCCCTCCAGTGGGGACGTAACAGGGCTGACCAATGAAAAAATGAAAACATACCTCATTAACAATAATCTCCTGTCCTTCCCCGTTTGGTCCCAATTGAAATATTGGTTTCCTGCCTTCCCTGGGCAACGCCACCAGCTTATTCCTCAGATCTGCTAACGTGGCCTCTGGGTCGAAACCGTTATACGGCTCCGGGTCCACATCGGGCGTGGAGGCGCGGGACCCTTGCAGCTTCAACGCCTCATTGGCCACCGTGCACAGAACCTCTACCATGTCCACCAATTCTTTCCTATTCAGAACACCGTCCCGGTCCATATCGAAGATCTTGAAGCAGACTGGAAATTAAGTTACAATTTAGTTCATGAAGAAATAGATTATTATAAGGATTTTTAGCATATATAATGATACGAGTTTTAGCAAATGAAAAAAAAAGTCGGATAAAAGTAGTCATGAAAGGACAAGACACACCTTCCACGATGAGAATGATGGCATAATTATCGGCATAATAAACAGTGAAGACAGACGGCATAACAACCGGTGACTATGTATCAAAAAAGTTATGAAAGTAAGGAAGTGAAAAAGATGTTATTTTCCGATGTTGCCAACCCCAACAAACTAGAAAAGGACAGCTTACTAATAAGAATACAGGAGAAAACAGTAGATTAATTAAAAAAGCATATTTCATACTGTACTCAATAATTAAAAAATAAGTTCATTAACTAAAACCGGACAAATGAGTAATAATCGGTTATGTTTTGACCAAAGACATGGAAAACGTAAGCTGTATCTCACATTTGTTGGAAAGACGTAACAGATAATGGATATTATGTATTTCTTTGGACAACATGCTTGCAACTTATTATTAAGCACCATTTAATAAGTGCATTAACATCCAGTGCACAAACATACATTAAAATTTTAATAAGTCTAAAGCGACATTACCCATACAAATTTGACATCCATTAGACCTTAAAGGCGTCATTAAACCTTAATGGACGTTTGTGCAACTGGCTGTAAATCTTAAACATTTGCTAAATATTTCTTGAGTAACTTTGTGTTACATCTAAAATTTTAACAGATATGAGTAAGACGTAATCTGGATATGGAATTAAAATTATTACAGATTTTTAAATATTTAAATATAAGTGTTTAAATATGTTTGTTATTAGAAAAGAAACCTTGCAGTACTCCGTTAACATATAGTTTGAAGTTTAATTTATCTTGAGTCTGACAAACGCAAAAAGATAGCCAAGACAATAGGCAGCTATGGCGCTCGACGAAGACATGATAATTGTTAGAAATAAAGGCTAACAACTTTATTTCTATACTTTTCGATGATATTAATACAATTATATATCGCGCTATTGATGATATTAATACAATTAATTATAATGACAATATAATACAGCCGGCGGCGGCCGACTTAACGGTGTGAAAATACGCTACGCTTAATATATCAAATCAAATCAAAATTGTTTATGCAGTTTAGGCTTTTACAGAGCACATGTGAAAGTCGAAAACTACGCCATCGGTTCGCAAAACTACGGCGGGAGACCTTGTACTAAGAAGAACCGGCAAGAAACTCAGCAAGGGCTGTTTTTTTCTCCCTGTTTTATTTCACAAAGAAGGCTTATTGTAAAGTGACTTCATTAGAATATGAAGTCACATACCATTCATATCTAATATATAATATAATATTTCAAATATATATATATCAAATAAGACTCAGCGTGTGTCTGTACTCGATAAGACATTATATTCGTACTTTGGCAAGCGTATATAATTTAAGTGTGACATCGCCTAAAAACTCTTTTTATATCGGTTAGGTAAACTTAGCAGTTTTTTATCTTTTCCGAGAGATAGGTATCTCATAGTTAGATATCAATCATATCTAATGAGAAAGTACATGAATAGTATTTAGTTAGAGCAACACGACATTGATGATAAGGTCTCTTTGATAGCTTATCAGGCATGTTGTAATGATTATACTCTTAATATATTATTATTTGTCTCATAACATTACAACAGCCCAAATTGACGATGTGTGAATATGTAATTATGTTCAGTTATGATTTTCCAATAGTCTTGTTGCAAACCTGGACTTTTTTTGTTGGTGTTATAATTTTGTTTTCGGGATGAAATTTTATTTTGAAAGTAAGTGTGAAAAAAAAAAGTGAAAATCTAATGCAAAATAACGATAAAGTAGAAGAATACTAATTAATGTTACATTATATCGATGTCACAAGTATTATAAGTATTATAGTAATCATACATCATAATTCAATCCAAATCATATTATAATAGGGATGATGACTGGGTAAAAAAATGCAATTCTATTTAGTCCGTCAATCAGATAATAGAAAAATATTAGATACGTATTTTTTTTTACTTCAATTTAACAAGAAATAGTATAGATAACAGGCATTAAAGTTGAGGAGTGGGGGCTCGCTACGTCACAGTTGAGTAGAAAACGTACTCTAACGTGACGTCATGCGAAATTTCAACTCAATGTAACGCCGTAATTTTATAATTACGAAAAAAATTAAAAAATACGTGTTTAATATTTTTTAACACTCTACCTGAAGGTCAAACAAACAAAAATTAGTCATCATCCCTATTAAAATAAAAGGTACAAAAAAATAAAAGCGTAATTGATAGCAAATATATTATCACTATAAATTAACCTATTGCGACATAGTACATTGAAAGTCATCAATATAGAGCATTAATATAGCATAATTATTTCATTCATAACATAGTTGAGTTTTTGATTGTTATCAATTGCAAAAGAAAAAAGAGACATTATTTTTGAGACATCTTTTCTATTGGTTTGTATTAATCTACTCGTATTTAGATAAATCGTTCCACAGATAAAATAACCAAAATATGAGTCGAAACAACACTTAAGTAGATTTAAGATCTACTCTAAAACAGCTTACTCTAAAACATTTGTGTGTGAAAATTATATAAGATAAATTAGGAACCATACAATTATTCACTCCGGGAGGTAAAGAGGAAGCCAGCTGTGTGGGCTGGAGGAGGCGCAGGAAATGTGAATTTGAGCCGTTTAAGGACTCTGTGAGAGTGTCGCACAAGCAAGGACTGTCTATTTTGTAATTAACCGGTAGGTTATTATTTTGATTTGTAAATAATATCTTTTTGTTACATTTGCATTCACAGTGCTATCCTGAATTTTTTTTAACGATATTTCAGCGTACCTGGGGCTGGCCAATGAAAATTGATTTTTAAGCAATTTTCATTGTTATCTTTTTTTTAAGAAAAGTGTGGATCGCAATTATGATCCTTACAGTACGCTAGATGTAGTTAGTACAAAGCTATAAGTTTTACAAATTTATTTTAAATTCCGTTCAGCCATCAGTATATTAGCTGAACGGACAGAAACTGTTTAGTATAACTAAACTACCAGACCGTTTAAGCTTCTGGGCCTCGGTCGCGGCGGCAACAAACATTTTATATCAGTATTATGATATATGTTTGTAGTTTGTCCGATTTTTCGAGTAACCTTTACAGTTGTATAAAATTTTTGAAAGAAAGTAGATGTAGAAACTGAGAGAGGCCAAAACACACTATCGCGAGTAGATGTCAGAAGACATAAAAATCAGTAAGCATGTGTGTAAAGTATAACGAAAGTGAAGGAGGCGAAATATATACTCGTACGTGTGTCCAGATCAAGCCTTGTTCTTCTCTGACATAAAGATACATGTATGGATAAATACACTATAACGTTTCACCTATCTTTATACAAGATTAAAATGAACGTACTTATTAGTTTCATAAAAAGACTTTGAGATAAGGAATAAGTAGATACTTTTTTGGACCATCATAATGATAAAAACTTATCGAAAGATATTAATCAAGTACAGAAATACAATCTAATCATATTTTCTTAGCGTGTGGGTAAATTGGTCATGCAAATGAAACTGTAAATAGGACAAAAGAATATTAAACATCCTTTATCGGTTGCAATTGTAAACAAGATTACAGATATGCCATTCAAGGTTACCTCGAGTTCACTGATATATATTTGTTTGAATCTAACTTTACCAATAAGAGGTTAAATGCATTTTTATCACGCTAATTTGTACTCCCGCTGTGTAAATTGAAAGAAATAATATAAAATATTTCAATGATTCGTCAGCGAAAAAGACAAAAAGTGAAATCTTCAATATTCCACAGTAAACATTAGAATTTTGTATTTATATTAGAATGCTAACTGATCTATTTGTATAATTAAGTAATGTGTCAAAGTGTAACAAAATTAGTTTCTGAATGCACCCCGTTTGACAGGTACGAACAATTTGTATGGAAATAACTTAATTGTTACTTTTACTATTATCCTTTCGGTGTCTTCATATTTCGTATGATATCTAGAAATATTTAAAAACCGAAATTGGTCAAATCGGTCTACTTGTTCTCGGTTTTACACCGGGTGGCATCTCAGACTGTACTTAAACAGGTTTTTCTTTTGACTTTAGTTTTTTCAATAGTCGTAGTTGATAGCAGTTTTATAAAACTAGAACTGTTTGCCTTGTGAAACATAAAACCGTGAGTTATTGAGAAAAATCAGTTGAGATTTTGTACTATTCTCAATTCAGAAACTAGCCGTAAGTGAGACTTATATTTTCTTTTATAAGTATAGATTTATAAAATAATATTATCCTATAAATTGATACATGAGTAATTGCTATACAACTTATAAAAACAAACGCGTGGCGGTTTCCTTTGGAAGTAGCACAGACTAGGTTTGTGCGATATAATTAATTAATAAACATTGATAAGAATTTAAATATTCCATGGTTAGTTACTCATAAATTTCCATTTGAAACTGAACTACTAATTGAAAGCTAAATGACTTGCTTTCTATATTGTCTAATTTAATGTGAAAGCCTCGAAAAGCGAAAATACTTCAAAACCCTGATAATATATAAAACCAACATTTTCTACACTGACGCGAATGGGAATCACACCCGGGATTTTAATTATCGCCATCTTTTACATCAGCGAGTGAACTACTTGGCTACCGAAAGTTTTAATATGAATAATATAACCACCAGAGTATGTAATGGTCGGTACATATCTGTCGTATCGTCACTCCGTCGAGCGTCTCACGAAAGTACGCGTCAGTACACCGCGGATCATCCCTCTAACTAATGTGATCTAAGTATTATTTTCATGGTATTGTGTAGAAATTATATATATTCAATATTTATCAGGAACTTTTCAAAATTAAATACTTATCTGATTGGTGTATTGCCCGATAATGATTATGTGATAAATATTTGCACACTAATTTATACTGTAACGTTATCAATATAGAGTTTATTGAAACATAACCGCACTAACCACAGTATTATTAAACTATTTACCCATAACTTTTTTTATTTATTGATAAAGTACTTTATCGAATAGCAATTATGCTACTGAATTATTTAGTTTCGTTAAATATTTTATCTAAATAGGGTCGTCTAAGGGATGACAGCATGTAATTTTAATATTGAAGACATAGTTTATTGGTTTGATGATCAACCTATGATTGTTTATCTCAAATGACTATTAGGGAAATGGATGTAACATGTTCACGTGCAATAATGATAACAGTTTTCAGAGCTATAATAAATAAATAAAAATCAAGGGCTACGTAAAGTATACACATATATAAATCGTTATAATATGTAGTAGTATCAATGCAAATATAATAGTGTTATCTGCTATAGTTGGCGACCCTAGCATGCTAAATCGGAAATATAAAAAAAACCAGCGACGGTTCCGTCCGAGCGGCGTCGGCGCCCACCGGCCGCGGAGAGGCATTGAGCTATATTATACTCGCAGGTTCCTGTTTGCATTTTTTAAATAAATTAACTGCGATACTTGCACGTTACTTTTATTCATCTAGACAAATTTTTGTAAAAATTAGTTGCGTTATCTATACATATATAAAAGGAGATGTCCTGACTTACTGTCTGACAGACACAACGCACAGCCCAAACCGCTGGTCGTAGAGACTTGAAATTTGGAGAGAACATTCCCCTTAATACGTAGAGGTGTACTAAGAACGGATTTTTGGAAATTCCATCCCGAAGGGGGTCAAAAAGGGTGAAAAAGTTTGTATGAAACTTCTTTGTTTATAGACCGATGTCTATGAAAATTTATATTTGGGCAGTTTATGACCCTAGGAAGGTAATAGGTTATATTTTATCCCGAAAACTAGCACTTACGGGGATAAAAAAGGGAGTGAAATTTTTTATGGGGAATCAAAATGACATTTTTGAAATTTTAATGGATATAAATGTTCAAAGTCAAGTATTTTTGTTTACGAAAGAAACAATATTTTTATATTATATATATGAACTACACTAGATGGCGTTAAATGAATTCTAAATCGCGATTTTTTTTCCTAGAGTATTTGCAGATAGATGATGGCGAGTATATTCTAAATCTATTATTTTGATCAAAGAATTTTCATTAAAATTTTGCTCCAAGTTTAGATTAAAGAAATTGTAATTATTTGTGTTTTTCGTTTTATCAGTAATTAATTTATTCAGTATAAGTATTGCTAGGTCATGACCTAAGATTTTCAAATTGATAATTTTCACAAATCCTATTTTATTACATTTATTCATTCATATTACGTAAGCATCTTAGAATTGACCAATTCATGAGGCAGCCAGCCATTTCATGAAATGGAAAATTTGAACAAAGCAATGAACGACTTGCGTTTAACGATATGGGCGGCTGATAGTATGACTTCTTCATGATGTGTCCAAGAGTAAATGATCATATCGTAAAAGAGTTACGTAAGTCTCAGTAAGAGGCGCTGATGTCGCATTATTTTTGTGATACATTTTTTTTTGTTATACAACAAATCAAAGAAAGTAGGGTGGCTAAGTAACGAATAACAATGACTTGATTAAGTTTGGAGAGATAAATGTAGGAGTGCAATATGAAGGTGCAGCAGCAAAGACTATTTGTGTAGTTTTATGGATATGTCGCAGGTTATGATAAAGACAGGATTGTGACCTAGCTCCAGAGCATGATAAAAATATATTAGAGGATATAAAAGTTTTTGAGATATGAACAGAACATAAGTTCCTATATGGTTCACTACTTTAGGTCACGTGATAGGTTGGAAATTTAAGACAATCACGAAGCGTAGCGTAGCGTCGTATTAAAATTCGAGGTTATTTTTTTCAGACCACAAAATCCTAACTCTAACGAATAAACAAGCTATTTCACCAAATAATTAGATTTCTAGATTTTTACGAGCAGTGCTCTCGAGTCAGCGGACAAGTGAAAAATATAGTCTATTAAGAAGTGTTATGAAAAGATTCCTATCCGTTAAAGTTTCCGCTAAACTTAAATTCGTTAATCTAAAATAAAAGAATAGGTATTCTAATTTACTGACCTACTTACCACCACTTATAGGGATGAAAACGGGAGTGAAAGTTTTTATGGAGAATGAAATATTACTATAGCAACCATTATTTATTTGGTTTGTCAGAATTTTGTGTAGATTACGTTTTCAATTAAGTTTTCTGTAAACTTCAAAACCGTTTTTTCTATCTGTATTTCAAATTGGATTGGTATGGATTAATATCTCTAAAGTTTTCAAAGATAAAGTGCTGAAAGATATTGGATATTTGTTGTATTTTTTTTTGTTGTAGTATCTTTAAACTTAAACATCAAGGTAATTTCATCATCAGCTCGAAGAAAAACAGCGTTTTTGGAAAATATATGCTGCCCAAAGTAACTATAGCACGCGGACGAAGTCGCAAAAGCTAGTATATTATATTTGATCAATTTTGTATTCACAATGTTATACTGAAAAATATTCTTAATGAAAAACAATAGTTTATTTGTCCACAAAGTGGATTTTTAAGCATTTTCCATTAACCATAAAAAAGTAAAAATCAAATAACCTCTTGCGAAATGGTTTGTTTGTTTACGGCGGCGTCATTCCAACAGCAAATGTTATATTTGTTTATACACATTTCCCTTAAGTGATGATCTCAACAGCGGAGTAATGCACGTTGAGAGTGGAATATCCGAGGTATCGAGTTTGACTTTCGATTATAGCTAGTTCACCATAGAAGAACATAACAAGACATTAGAGACGATTCCCAATGCATCTCCACTGATCCTAACTGGGCCTACACCTATGTTTAATTCGTTTATAATTCGCTGCCTGGGCCCAGTTGCAAGTCTGCGCCTTAATCTAAACATGATAGGACGGAAGATGATACAGAAATCTTTATATTGGAAACCTGTTGAAATCAATTTTCAACAAAACTGGATAAACCCATACTTTTTAATGGTTGAACCACTCGGGTGTACTCGTGGGTAAAACGGAAATATTGTGCAATCTGTGGTAGTCGATTGGTTTGTGTTTTACGATAAATAGATTACATTAGAATATAATTCAGTATGATTGCACGCTCATAATACACTATCATTAATATAATCACATTTGGTGAAAGGATTATATTGGACAAATAGTTTCGCAAGCCTCTTCAATGCAAATAAACAATCACATCTTTTAACTATATAACATTAATACCTATCGATAAATGATAGTCTAATATAAGCCCGAGCCATGATGAGATACGGTAAGTGACCTTGACCACATATAACCTTATATTGAGCGAATCTATAAAAATTGTTATCATTATCAATTATGATTATTAATCTCAAGCTCCAATTAATCAGAGAACGCTGTGTACACATACATCAGTACAATATAAAACTTAACATGCTCGATATGAAGTTCGGTATTGATTGCAGGTAAAGGATATTTTATGGTTACGTAACGGGCCGTGACTGGCTTTATATTTTGAGGTTTGGGGAATTTAGTACTAAAACGATTGTTTAGTCACCGACCGATTCGATTGCCGGTTCTTAGGTTGAGTGCAAATCTCACGAAGATCCTTCAAGTACCTCACGGAAGTATGCGTTAGTACGCGAAGGATTAACAGCGACAGTACAATGGTAACTATCACCTATGCAAAAATGTGACTAGGGCAATCAAAAATGAGACTGATTTCGGTCTAAAAATGGGCGAGATCTCGCGAGTTTAACGAAATTGCACTCAAGCACTAAAGTGACTTAATATAAGTGCGGAAATGTGAATTTATGCGAGTCCAAAGTCAAGCGTAAATTTGAGGGGTCAAAAAGCAAATTTTTTAAATTTTATAGTACTTTTGCTTCCGAAAGGGCCTTCGCAAAAAACATAAGGAAAAAACAGGCAAAAAACAGGCGACTTTCAAGAAGCTACTTTCAAAATTATTAATAGTAATTGCGTATGAGGTAAACTGAACAAACCTTCTTTATATTAGGTATATTTTGTTAATTTATTCTATTATTCTTAATAGATCTCAGAGTATAAATAGTTTTCTTTAATCAATAATAATACTCGTATATCATTTTTTTTTAATATTAATTCAACTTACATACTTAATGAGTTTTATTTTAATTTTTGATTTCTTGTAGTTTTGTTATAAAATAACTATTAAATAAAACAATTTTGTTTGGTAATAGTAGAGAAGTTTGGTGGTTTATTTCATTTCGTATTTGATTACACACATCAAAGTTTAGTACTTGAAAGTATAGTACCTGGATGACTAACCTAAACAAGTAGATTTATCGCCCCTGCATAAAAAAAATTATAAAAATTGTTGGAGGCGTTTCCAAGATTCAGACTATAATACAGAAATCGCTTGTTTAAAAGTAGTAGATAAAAAAAAATATGTCAAACTTTTTGTTGAAACAAAACTTTCAACAAAACACACGAGAGTCAATCTCGCGAGATCACGAAATTGGCAGAATCTCGAGACTATTTTTGCGGATAACTGCAGCGTTATCCACAAAAACAGTAGCACTATTTGTGGTTTGACGTATTCAGACTTCTCTGCCACTCCGTGATTCTATCAAAGAGACAGACCACCCAGAGATTTGATATCCTGTTCATGATAACGTACGAGAAAGTTAACGAGTTAAGAAAGTTAAGGAACTCACACTTGAGGCGTTCGGTGCGCGGGCCCCGGCAGGCGGCGCTGATGCCGCAGCACAGCTCCTTGAAGTCCACATGTCCGTCTCTGTTCTCGTCGAAGGCAAGCACTGCGCCGGCCACAGCGGCGCGCGGCAGCGGCGGCGCCAGCAGCGGCGCCAGGCTCTCCGCGTCCAGCTGGCCCGTCGGCGCGGCGTTGCGCAGCGACCAGAAGCATTTCTCTAGCTCTATTATGTCCTGAAAACGATCACCCCCTCACTACACACGTTTACCTCCTGCTGAATTCTAATATTCTGAATGGGCCTTAATAATAATAGGTCGGAGAAAATGTTTCTTCGCATTTTATATGAAAATTCAAAACATTTTTTTAATAAAGTCGATGGTCCTGTCTGGCAGTAGCTCATAATATATAATGCCGTCTTAGTCGCACCATACACCTTATTGCAAGTTAACCCAGGTCTCGCCACTGTCTGTGAAGCCTGATCGACCTTTGACCGACCTTTTTGAAAGTTCTTATTTTACTTGATCCACTGTTCAACACCAAAAACAAAGTTGTAGCTTATCTGGTCACATTGAATCATGAGAATATATGTACCTATGTGGAAGGTACTGATAAATGATAACACCAATGTCTAGCCTACTACAATTGATTAATAGTCTTCTTACAAATAGTACTGATATTTATAAAAATATCTAAACTATAATAAAATATCACTGTTTACATATCTTTAAGGTTGACAAGGTAGCCAATTCTGTTTTGTCACTCTCTAAACTAAAAATATCTAATTTTCATGAGTATGTTTTATTCATTTGTTTGTTACATGGAATCAAACATATATACCCCTGTATTACTATAATAATTTATTTCTGTTTTCTTGGATATTTTGGACAGCACTTTCCAATATGATCATATCATGAGAAACCGGGAATAATATTTGATGTTAAATTATTGGAAATTCAGTTAAAGATTATATAACAGAATTGCTAACACTATTTAAATATTTATTGAACAAAATCCAAGCTGATTAAAGCTATATGTAAATCAAGAAACAAAGTTACTAATCAACTTGTACTCAAATAATCCCAAAGTTATTTTCCTTAAGTTATATCACTTAACTTTTCCTTAAAGTTATACAAGTTCTGATGACTGTACCAACCTGTCATGTAGTAGACAAACATGAAATGCTCAAGACAAGGAAAGGAAAATATGTCTAGTGAAATAATAGAAATCTAGTAGAAGAACAATTTTACTTGTAATACATATACAATCATCAAAAGTATCTAATCAGTATAAATGTTTTGATATAATTACTGAAAATTAATATTATCTAAAAAATAATGTTAATGATTTGACTTTATTAAAACTATCTCTCTCAATTTTAATTATTTGATGAACAATATTATTTCAGAAAGTCTTCTAATGATTTAAATAGATTTTTAGAATGATATATTTATTTTAATAAACAAATCTAATGTTCTCTAAACTCTATATGTTCTTCCGGAATTTAAACAAATATTTTAATATGTTTATTCTTACTTTTATTTTAAAAAGATATATATTTATGAAAGTAAGTAGTCATAACTTACCCTTTCTTCTAAATGTGTAACACCAGCAAGGCTTTGGTAAAAAGTAGGGGTTTCTAAATCTTGAGCTACATGTCCTCCTCCAGAGAGTAGCCATTGGGACAGCACAGTGGCATCCTTGTGTATTAAAAGCCATGATCGAAACTGTTCAAATGTTACTTTCTCGCCAGGTCCGAAAAGACTCAGCAATATTTCTGCTGTCCTTTGAGCACCAGTCACAGGCAGAGAAGTGTTCTCTAAATGCAGGGATCTTGCAAAATCCCTTTTGTATATGTATGTTCCGTTATCACTCTGATTATTTACATATAGCGTCCATAGAAACCTATAATAAGACCACAAATAGAATCAACCCATTTCAAAATGTACCTATAATTGAAAAAAATCAACACTTACTTAATTTTCTCTTCAAGATTTCCTTTAGTTAGCACTACTATTCCACATAGTAATTCTCTAAAGGCAATACCACGCTTGGTACCACCGCAGGCCTGATACAACCACTCTGCTACCTCGTAAGGTACTCCATCACACAGAACTTCGTGGACGAATGCTTCCAAACTCAAGGATGTACCATTGGTGCCGGCGCTTCTCTTGAACGCCTCACGTATGCGTCTCAACTCACTATCAGACACTGTAAATAATATGATACGAATGAGTAGATATTTATTAAAATATAACGCACTTCCACAAACATTTTTTTAATCACACACCTCGCTTCACTGCATCTTCGTAGGATATAAAACTAGGTTTTGAGTCTTTTGCACCCATATTCACGTACACGTAATGATCATAACATTTTTAGGCGTAATAAACACAAAGAAACAAAAATTAATACAGCTGACAGCTCACGTCGTCGTATGATCTGCAGCCATATTGTTTTTTTAGTACTTCACCCTTCAGGGTAAGCAAAAGACTTCTGTCCTTACAGCCACAATCATACTTTAATAAAATATTTCGATTATTTTATGTGCAGGCTTTCGCCAAGTCATCAGTTAAATATCTTTTGAGGGTTGAAGATATGAATACGTATCAGTTTTTTTTCGATATATCTTGTGTAAAGCGCAGGACATTTTCCGGATTCTTATACACTTGCAAAAGTTGATCTGCCAGAGCAAAACGTTGTATGTTGAACGACGCACAATAAAAAGATAATGTGATCAGCGGCATTGGTACACTTTGAGGAATCAATAATATGTATACAACGGAGGTGAGCATTAAACCAAGCACCAAAAAGTAACTCACTAGATGGCGACTCTACCAAAAGTTGATTTTTGCAGAAAACGACTGGACCAAAGATAGTCATTTCCGATCCTTTTAACCATAGACATAAAAGAAGAGGACCGGCCATACCTACGAAAAAAGCGTATATGCCTAAACTTGAAATGCAAATTCTTCGATGGCGGACTGTCATAGGGCGCGACCCATGATATCGATATTTGTATCGACATTGAAGTCATATTAAACAAAAGTTAGTATTTCGTGAAACTGCTACAAAACTACTACTTATTAAATAAAGTAATATTATTTCCATTGTTAGGGGCATGGCTGAACTATTACCTATTATACTTCTATTCGTTTCACACTTACGTACTAAGTGTGAAACGTTCTATTAGTTTCACACTTACGTAACATAAGTTTAATTTTACATCCACGGGAAGTGCGACCACTGTCCAAGGTAACTGCCACGGTAACTATAATAAGCTTTAAATGAGTAGATTGAAGAGTGAATTATTATGTTTTTTTTGTCTGTTATATATTTTTTATTGTTATAGTGGAAAGTGACATTTTGGTCCAATGAAGTCATTTTTTATTTTTCAGTACGAAATTAAACAGGGTGCAAAAGCAGCACTTGCAGTTTCTTACCGGTTCCCCTTCTTCTTTTCTCGGTACAAGGTTTCCCGTAATAGATTTACGAACTATAAGCACAGAGTTTCGACTTTCTTATATGCTTGTAACTACTATGCCAACTTGTCTATAATAAATTGTATTGACTGAATAAATTTCGCTTACTAATCATTAAGCGAGATACCGTGCGTACTGTCACAATTATAGTTCAGAGCATCTTTTTTGGTAGTAAACATAGAAAACTTGAAACACCTACATAATCTTTGTATTATATTATATGTAAAAGAACATAAAAATACTGTAAACTTTGATGAATAAACAAGAGAAAATAAAGAAAACAAAGTTGGTAGATGAAAAAGTGATATAATTTATTAAAAAAGTAACAATTCGCATTTTATTTAAAAATTTGGTTAGCAAAAAGAAAACAGCCGATAAATCAATGGGCAAGCATAAAATATTTTCTCAGCACAAAAACTGTCTGCAATTCATGTTCTGTGAACAATCATGATAACGGTCAGCAATTTAAATACAAAAAGGTAGCGTATTTTATGATGCACCAGCAAAATAAACAGCCACGCCGCAAAATAATTATTTGGGTATTAAGATTATACTATTGAACAGCAAAGAAAACCTTTAAATTTTTATTAAAATTATTTTACTCATTCTATTGTAATTTTACTGGGAGTATATTATGATTAGAATTTTATATTTTAATATTATTATATATTGCATTCTGATTTTTTCAATTAAAATAGTTGTCATATGACCGCAAGACTAAAAATAAGGTACATTTATATAATAACAAAATGACTATATAAAAAACTAAATAAATAAATCAGTAAAATCAAATGAAAATTAACTAAGTTTAAGTAAGTTTAACTTTCAATTTCGAACGGCCGAAGACCTCGTTCGCGCGTTCGGCCCTCGGGAGTCGATCTCTACCCAGTGACCTAAGTAAAAAAAAAAATATATGTAAGCTATATGTCTCTTTTTGTAATTATTGGGAGTCACAAATGCAGTACTCACCGATCTTGATTATCAATTTATGTGTATTCATTTATGCCGAATTGTTTTTATGTAAAATAACAAAATGCGTTATACTATTCTCATTGTTTATGCTCATCTGGATGAAGCTGTCGAGAGCGATTTATTATTATAAATACCTAAAATTTAAGTTTTACTGTATAATTATGTCAAGAATGTATTTATGTGCATATTATTTTAATTATAATTGCAATTATATTCTATATTGTATTTTTATCATTTATATTATTCCATACAATATTTACAAAATTTCTATATCTATTATTTATAAACATAATCTAATATATATCAATAAACTATTTACTTGTGCAAATATATTCTATACTATATTTTTTATCATTTATATCATTCCATACAATATTCACAAAATTTCTATATCTATTATTTACAAACATAATCTAATATATATCAATATAATTATTTACATGTACAAATATATTCTATGTTTAAAACAAATTTTAATATCTGTAAATTATTTTTATAATAGTATGTCTCGCTTTCCATTCACAATTATATATTGTGAATAATGATGGGCAGTAGAAACCTCAAAGTTGGACTTTTCAATGCTGGATCACTAGGTACAAGGCATGAGGAGTTCATAGCGGCTGTTCAGAGGTTGGCCCCAGATATAATGGCCATAAACGAAACTTGGCTGAGCCCAGGGCAGGACTACAAAGCACCCAGACTGGCGGGTTATCGTCTAACTCATATTCCACGACCCGATCATATTAGGGGAGGTCGTGGTGGTGGAGTGGGTTTTTATGTACGCCGGGGCATAAATTTCCGTGCTTGTGACTACCCAACTTCTTCAGCGGTGGAGCAGATGTGGTTGAGTCTGCGCATAAACAATCAGGACATAGCGATCGGAACTGCCTATAGGCCACCCAGAGCGGATATTAATATATTTCTCGATGCCATCACATGTTCTGTCATCGCACTTGCAGGACATGACCGTTTAATATTACTTGGTGATTTCAATGTGGACCTTTTAAACAAAAGCAGTAGCGCATCGAAGCAGCTTCAACAGTTCTTCAATAGTGTCAATTTGACCCAGTTGGTTGAGGAGCCAACACACTTCACAGATCATAGTGAGAGTCTCATTGATGTGATCTGTACGGATGCACAACCTCTTCAGATGACAGTAAAATATTCCCCAGATCTGGGAGCCCACGCCATGCTTGTTGCAGAATTCAAAATAAAGAAAGATAGACCAACCCCTCGATTTGTAACCTATAGACCTATGAAGGATATACTTCTTGATCAATTTAATAGGGACTTGGATTCTATTCGATGGTCTGATTTCTGCAGCATGAGTGACGTTGACGTCCTGGTGGACTCGTTTACCCGTTGTATCGTGAACTTTTATGATCTCCATGCCCCAATAAAGAAACGAAAGTTCAAGCACCCTCCTCACCCATGGATAACAGACACTATTAAATCCATGATGTATATTCGAGACAGCTATCACAAAAGATATAAACTACGTAAAACTATGGCCCTAAAGGAATGTTACAAAAAAATGAAACAACTTGTCATAGCTGCAATAGAGAGTGAGAAAAGATGTTTTTTTGATAAGAGTATTAATTGTAATATAAACAATTCCAAAAAACTATGGCAAAATTTAAAAAATACAATTCTACCTAATAATCGGGTTAGCTCTGATATTCCAGCTCATTTAGATGACCCCAATGCTTTAAACGCATACTGTCTTGATGTGCCTGGTAGTAACAAAGTGACAATATCCAACCTTACTTTCTTTGAATACAACAGGCATGGGGACGGCATCTTTCTACTGCAGACTGTCAGTGAAGATACAGTTTTGAAAGTTGTGAGGGGTTTTAAGTCGAACGCTCAAGGTAATGATGGCATATCTTTGGAAATGTTGCAACTGACCTTACCTCAATCATTGGAGACCATCACCATGATAATCAACAGATCGATAGAGGAATGCACTTTTCCGAAAAGTTGGAAGGTTGCGGTGGTAAGACCGATACCAAAAGTTGATCACCCAGAGTCAGTGCAGGACCTTCGGCCCATTAGTCTCCTCTCATGTGTTTCTAAGATTTTGGAGAGGATAGTCTGCAATCAACTAACTGAGTACTTAGAAGAGCACAATATACTTCCTCAATCACAATCTGGATTTCGGAGAGGGTATGGTACTGCAACTGCTCTAGCGGATGTCGTCGACAATCTCCTCACCAATCAAGACGATGGGATGATCAACGCCATGCTGCTGCTTGATTTTTCACGGGCATTTGATTCCATTAATACAACTCTACTATTGTCAAAGCTGTCATACTATGGACTCCATGAAAAAACAGTAAAATGGTTTCATAGTTACCTTTCGCATAGGCAGCAGTATGTCGAGTTAACGAATGCAGATGGGTCAAAAATTCAATCATCTCAACTGCCTGTGGTGCGTGGCGTTCCTCAAGGGTCTATCTTGGGACCCATCCTCTATATTCTATATAGTGCTGACATCACGGCTCATATCCCAAACTGTTATCACCATTTATATGCTGATGATCTGCAATTGTTTCTACCATTTTTGCCAACGGATCATTCTGCTGCGGTGTCAAAGATTAACGATGATCTAGCTCATATAGCTGCTTGGTGCGAGTCCAATTGCCTTACCCTGAACCCTAAAAAATCCAAACTAATTTTATTTGGCACTAAGAAAAAATTAACGAAATTTAATGATACTTGTGGTTCCTTCAACATAACTCTAAATGGAGAAAGATTAGATAGAGTAGACAAAGTCAGAAATTTGGGACTAATTCTAGACAGCCATCTTAACTTTCAACATCATGTTTCGGAATGTGCCAGAAATTGCTTTTATCGTCTCAAATTATTATATAAAATAAGGCCATATATAACTGAAGAGCTACGTATTCGACTATGTGAATCGCTTGTCCTCTCCAAGCTTAATTACTGTGACACGGTGTATGGACCATGTCTTCAGTCTGGAACCGC